TTTAAGACTAAGTTTGGTACCTGTATAAGATTAAGTTGTTCATGTTATATGGATTGTCAAAAGAGCGCCGCTAACACTATACACAGGAACATTCAGAAAAGCCCCCGTTCTTGTTGCGGAATAACTACGTAAACGTACCTACGTTACTACGGTAATTTTAAACAGAATATATTATATAGTTATACAAAGTTTACAGTCTTCCAAGCACATCAGGATGAAATCTATAACATATAACAGACATCAGTCTTATCCACGTTAAGTATTGATCGAAACTCCGGAGAAAACTAGGAGTGGAATTTGACCTTGCCTAGCTTAATCTTTCAGTCACCAAATTTATTGAAATTTCATAACAAATAAATGTTCATTCTTGTTTCAATTGTTTCAAAAATTGAATAGTTCATTGAGTGCTTTAAGACTTTTAGCTTTTAAACAAGAATACTACACATTATTAAATGAAGCTATTTTTACGGCTGTGTTCGTATTAGGTTTCTTTTAAATTCCCCACATTTATTAATACTAATAAAAAAAATTTCATTAACTTAATTCAAATTATAATATTTTAAAAATTAAATTTAATCAAAATTGTACACTTAAATATGGAAGTAAAATATGTTGTCCACATACCAGGATATAACGATATAATATGATATTCTTGGAAGTTGAATGTATAAGGCCTACTGCAATCGGGAATTGAAAAGATCAGATAAAAGTTGTTAAAATTTATTCCCTTCGCCTATTGCTTTTATTGAGATTCTCTTTTTCCTTTGTACAATACTCTGTTGTGTAATTAATGCGTGCTAATATAATTTAACATAATTATAAAGAATCGTTGAACAAATTAAACATTGTGCAAGTTTATGTAATTAACTTAGAGTTATTATATTAACAACCTCGTTGCATTAGGAAGTAGAAATAAGGCCGCTGGGTTTGGAGATGTTACGGAAATGATGAGGTCGTTGCGGCCGTGTCTTATTTATTCAAGTAAGCTGCAAGTTACGAAGAAAACTAAATTTTATTTAATACGTTAAAATACAGCCAGTATTTTTAGTTCTCTCAAAGTGAAATTAATTTGTAAAATGACAATAAGAATTCGATCTATTACATATTTACTGAACAGAAATCGTTAATCGTGATTTTTCCAATGCAATTGTTGGAAATATTCAAAGACTGCGATAATGTTACGATCAATATTTCCCACCTCCATTATCCGCCGACCAAAATACGCGACAGTCATTATTTTTTTCCCCCGCGTACTGTTATACCCCAATTACCAATAAAATGCCGTTCGTTTGAGCAGACTAATTATGCACCAATCTTTGGGGCGGAACGCTAAACAAAAAAGGTGATAAGCATAGCATTCCGCGATGACAGCGGATCGGCGTTTTCCCACGGGACGTGCACAGTGGCATACCATAGAGCCCCGGGAACGTTTAAGGCTACTCATACATGCTTCTTACTGCACGACTTCTTCTAACTAGAGTACAACGCGATATTTTTATGGTGACCATCGGCTATCACTTCACCGTTTGGTTACTAGCGATTATTGAACATAATCCTTTTTTTACCCAATTCTTCACCACACTCCTTAGTGTACCGCTCTTAATTTCGATTTAATCACCAAAGGTATAGTCACGTGACTACGGACCGGAATTTAAAATAGTTAAAACGCGAATAAATGATAACATCGTTATTGTGCGAAGTACACAAGAATATAACAGATTTTTATACGCTGTTTTATTCAGTTTAAGATAATTTTATTGGCAACGGTTAGAATACTTTATATATTTGACCAAGATAAGAAAAAAAATTTAAATAATATTAGTTTCATACTTATATGAGTGTGTAATAAATATATTTATATATCACAAATGTCATGAAAACATTGACACTATTTGTTATTTTGGCTGTATTTTGTATTTTGACCCTTTTATGAAGGAATAAGCTGCGGTGATATTTGGAAAGCTACCTAAATGTTTATGTCCGTCTCATTCGTTTAAGATATATCGATCCTTTCATATCAATTGCAAACAAACTAATAATCAAATAATTAGGCAAAATAATAAATTGTAATTTTTAAAAATTACAATATTTTTCTGGTCTTTGTTTTTCTTACGATGTTTATTTCTGCCCCGTTTTTACTCTTGTTTTATCATGATTTATTTTTCTATTTTTGAGGCATAGCTTTTTGTTAACAGATATGACACGTTTACGCAAAAAGAATGATTGTCAAAAAATTTCAACTCTCTGTAGCATTACTTAATGAGATGTTACATACATTTACAGTATGTAATTTCTCATTAAGTAATGCTGCAAAACCTCATTGAAATTAACTATCATCAACAACTGAAAACATAAAGTTTATGTCATCTTCACAGAAAACGATTGGTCTATTTTTGAATAAAGTGGACTGGCAGTGTTTACGTTATACAATTCATTTAGAAAATGGTGAAGCATTTATATTAATTTTGTTTAGACTTTTAAGAAAACAACCTGGAAAAGTTTACCCCCGAGTTTTATGGCTAACTACGCTCGTAGAGACGCTGCGTCTTCATAGTCTAACAAAGGTCTTAGGCTCAAGTTTACAAAATTAGTTATAGAGAAATTTCATTAAAACATCACCGTAGTGACGTCGAACAAAGCGGCAACGCCTGCAACGGTGCGCCGCCGCGCCGCTTAATCGACGCAGAACAAAAGACATAAACGGGCGCGCTCTAACGCTCCGGCGATGTCACCGTTAGACATTTTGAATTATTTCTCCCTAGCTAAGGCATAATCTGAGATGTATCCAAGATTTTTTGTAAATTTACAGATAATACCGTGTTACATGTATGTGCGTTGTCTAATTGCATGAAAGTTTTGAATTGGTCGATAAAGTATGATCTTTTTAAAATTAAACAGTAATTTTTCTTCAAAATATATTTTATATGTTGATGCAACCGAAAAGTAAGAAACCGCAATTCGGCATTACCCCTATAGAAGACAGGGGAAATTACGTACATTCAGTATTAACTCCTAAAAACTTAAGCATGCCTATATTGAGATAAGATCTTGCTGTTACTCCCTTTTATTACATTTTTAAGCTTTTTGAATGGTGTACTATTGACAAGTAAATAGAAAATATGAATTTTTACTAATTTTATAAAAGTATTAAAATAAACTCCATAAGAATGATAACACTATTCTAAGATTGACGTTAGTTCAGTCTCGCTCTGTTTCTTCTTGTATCGTTCAATGTCATCAAAAAGTGTACTGACAACCAACAAATTAAAGAACACAAAATGTATTAAATTCTATTTGACTTTTATCGTGAGTAAAGATTATTAAGAGTAAAGTTATTTAATATTAATGTCTACTCTACGTAGTCTTATTTAGAATATTATACTATTACTATTTTTATTTTTATTTTTTATTAATTAGCAATTGTACCATTGCCATATTTAATCTTACTCTTAGTCATTTCAATTGGGAGAGATCTGGTTGTTTTATATTATTTCACAATTGAAAACATTGTAAAATTGCAGACAAAGTAATTGAATCAATGAGTATTATATAATTTGAGAAAATTCAATTTATTTATGTCATAGGCAAGATAGCGAGACGCTGGTAAGATAGCGTACAAAGCATAAGAGCCCATAGCCGATCTTTAAAAACGCCAAGATATGAAAGGGCTAACACAATCCAATGGAAGTATGAATTTAACGCATAAAAGAGTCGATTCAATTCGTCGTCTACATGTAACCGGCAAACAAAACTGTCGGCGGTTACGAATCGGAAATTACGCCATATCTCTCGCTGGTTGTGCACGGGTAACGGATTGATTCATTCGGAGCCAGATCACCAAACCGTTTGCCAATTGGGCTAACGACTGGACCACGGAACTTGTTGGCAATTAATCACGAACGATCGTAGTTCATTGATTAACAGACGATAAGGAAAATACGGTGTTTTGTTATTTCTCTCTCTCTCTCTATCATAATAGACCATTCGAACCGAAGTTTCGTATGTATGTATTGACGTAATGTATGGAATTTATGGGTGCAGGTGCTTTTACAAACGGTATACCAAAGTTTCACGATACAAACAATCACATCCCGTGTTGAATCGTATATAAAATCCATTCCGCCCTAACCGGTAGCTTGGCTACTGCGAAAACTTGAAAAGCTCGGAAAACTCTAATATTCTTTCTCCTTTATTAGGGGAAATACGGATTTTTAAAGAAAACATAAAAAAGTTATATAAAGTAAAGGAACATAAAAGTGTAAAAAGCAAACGTAAACGTATTTGTTGTTGACTGTACGATTACCGTCGTCGATAATTGACGAATTTATCAACGGTCGTAAAAAGTGCAAGATCGTTCACCTGTCATACCATAATGATTTGCTAAATTTACATTACGATTATAGAATAATCCGTGCGAAGGATACGAAGGTTACGGTCTGGTGATTGTGCCTTTTTGGTCACTGACCGTTTCGCAAGTAAAATTACATTTTATAAAAATAAACTTAATGGACCTGGAAATTAAATCAAAATTTGATGTCTCCAAATTATATGGTTCAAGTTCAGAAGAGAATTGACATCAGTCGTGATTTTATATCTAGTTATTTTTTGTTAGTTCGCATGCAAACAGTAATAACTTTTGATTAAATTTAACTTCAGACAAATGTAATTGAAGATTCTCATTGTAATAAAAAACATGTGGATAAATCAGAAGTCTTATAGAATACATTCTGTTGTTTAATATATCAGTGATTATCTTTTTGTGCTATAAAATTTCCAGTAAACGTCGCTCATTGCGTACGTCAGGATCAGATGCAAGATCAAGTTACAAAAGCAAATTGAATTAGTAATCTTTTTACTTCAATTGTTTTACATATTGTTGTTGGAAATCGTGTATCATCTTCGTTGGTAGACTTTTTGTTTGGATCGAACTGAGCAATATACTTACCAGCAATATAAATATAATGCGGAAAACCAGTGGAGCTAGCTTTTTCTACCCATCAATGTGGCACACCACGAGCAGGATTTATGGTTATTTGGTCAGTGTAATTTATTATAATTCGGATAAATGTATAGAGCTGAGTTTAATACGTCTATTTCATTAAAATTTTCTGTGCGTATGCACGTAAATATTCAATGGTCTGAATTGGATTGTCTAATTTTAGCTCTATTTTTACGCTGTCGTGACTTGAGATGCTGCCCCTCTTTTCTCATTATTTGGAAACACTTTTTCCTATAGAACAATGCCCAATAACCGGAATGATGAGCTAAGCCCGAGTTTCATTGCGTTTTGTTATGATATAATCTGATGCTACGTTCTACTATCATCTTTTATATATCTATTATATAATATCTATTTTGATTGAATAATAAAACACTTTTGGATATATCTAGAAATTGGCAATATCAATCCTACCTTCTGTAACTTGAATAATTTAGTTAAAACACATTTTTCTTGTTTCAGATTAATTGTTGTGGCCAGCGTTCTTCTTTTTATAAGGGTAAGTATTTTATATTTAGAAAAAATTTAGTAAATTCTCGGTGCAATTTTTCTTAGGAAATCTTTGTCGTAGGGAAGATCGATAGCTTACAGTATTTTATAGTTGACGTGATGTAAAAGATATTAATGGGATTGACAGAAATTAAACAAGGTTCATACATAAAAGTATTCAACAATTATTCACATCTTATTCAGTTTGGATTCTCCATCCAAACATCCATTATATCAAGTATTTTAGATCAATCTTCTTTCATCTAATCTCACATGGTTGGGGTCAAAACGACACGTGTATTATGTTAATTCTATTGGTTAGGCTTTTAACGACCGGCCATATTGCATTAACCCTCCTTGGGAATAAACAATGTTCATGTCATCTAGTGTTTATATCAATATTATATTAAAAGTTAATTGCGCCTAATGAGGGGCGGTATTTCATATGTGAAATAATGGCGGCCACTCATTTCAGGGGCACTTTATTCAGAGATGGGAATCAGAAGCGGTTCATGTAAATTTTGTAAATACCGGTCTTTTATTGAAGGCCATGTATTTGTGAAATTTGCTGTAGAAACTTAGATTTACCTACATTGTCCACGGCTTCCAATTAATTATATCGTTGACTCTTTACTGTCACTGGTGACACAAGCAAGTTTGTTCAGCTGGTTCTTTGCTCACTCTAAGGCTTAGATTCAGTATTCAGCAAGGAAATTTGTAGGATTTTAGGCACAATATCTAGTGGGTTAAAATGTTTGACAATGTGTCATGTAGGTAAAATTGTTATTTCATAAAAAGTGTAAGTTACATTCAAAAATTATTTTCTGTTTTAATACAGGGGGTGAACTCAACCCCACACACAGAAATTGGATCGGAATCTACGGAATCGACTTCAGAAGGGAATCTTATATCAGCTTCATCAGAGCTACATGAGGGATCTGGCGATGATCCTCCTGGAATAGCAGACACAAGTCCTGTAAAGGTAAATTAAGAATATGATAAACATTAAGATTAAGACGTACAGTTTTTGATGTTGATGATAATTTCTTGTGTGTACGCTAAAAATAGTTTAATAAAAATTTTTATAGCGCTAATCTTTGCAATTAAGATGCGAAAAAATTTTTAACTTTACATTTTGATTTTCGTCGGTGTGGCAATTAGCCGTTTAGTTAAAGCATTTCGTCGCGAATCCGGAAGAATTGGAATAGTTTCATTAACTAATCTTTAGTCGCGTAAATACAAGAAATTATTATGTATACCGCGGTATTCAGACGTCCAACGCCTCAGTCTGTACTTAAAAATATGAGAAATGAATATCTACATAATATGTATGTTTTAAAATTGTTTATTACTTTCAGAACGAGACTAGAGAAGCTCTGAAACCTGATGGCAGTGAACAAGACCCGGTGAGTTTTTACTTTTATGCACTCAATCTTTTTTTTTATAATGTTGATCAGTGATTGAATTTGTTTTCTGATACAATGCCCTCGGATTTACATATGTAAATATAGTAAGATAAAAGTTATTTTATTTGATTATATGAAAACAAAACTTTTTTTTGATTATATGTAGACTTTCCTCCTATTATTAATTTTGAGCTAGTTGTTTTCATTACTAATATTTATTCTGTTTAACAATGATGTAATTATTTTTCGAATAATATAATTTTGCCCATTTATTATTACGAAAATATGTTATATTTTTGTTTACGACTCATAAACTGAGCGTAAGTATGTAGCCCACCGTTACTCAACTCACGGCGCGCCGGTTCATATGATTTCACTCTCAATATGCATACATAATTCGACCTTGAGTGGAGAGCTACTTGCTTTATATACAATGAACTAACACGCATATAAATTTGTAACGACACTCTTCAACATTCCATAAACAAAATGTTTTCTTTTATTTTACACACAATGTGAGTAAAGTAAAGTAAAAGTAACAGCCTATATAGTCCCATAGCTGAGCAAAGGCCTCTTTTGCCATGGGTGAACACAAGGTATTAGGGCATAGTCCACCACGCGAGCCCAGTGCGGATTGGTTTCACATATCTTCAAAATATTTATTTTGTTATTATTTCGAAAATATGCAGGTTTCCTCACGACGTATTTCTTCACCGCTGAGCACGTGATAAGCTCAGCACTTAAAATTAACATTTGCATTGGTGCCAGCACCGGGGATCGAACTCAGGTTGCTCGTGATATTATATTGAACTAGCGACCCGTCTCGGCTTCGCACGGGTGCAATGTATTTATTATACATAATTATGAACCTTCCTCTTGAATTACTCTATCTAGTAAAAAAAACCGCAACAAGATCCGTTGCTTAGTTTTAAAGATCTAAGGGACAGACAGACAGCGGGACTACTTTGTTTTATACTATGTAGTTTATTGTGACATTTTACCACAGTCACTCACTTGTTTTGCCTTCCCGGAACCACTCCACTAACACTTAAACTTTATGGTAGGGAATTAAAGTTCAAATTGACTTTAAAGTATTATTACGAATCTTTTGTACGAGAATGTAAAAAGTGTTAAATCTATCTGAACACTAGATTTAATTAACAATCAATGTGAAAGTTCGATAAATTGAAATGGACCAATGATGGATTTTTTAATTCAACTTTTTTGCAACGTTTTTTTTCCTCTTAAGCTTTATTTACGTTAAGTGCTACTACTTTTCACGCTTCAATTTAAAATTACTAGTACCCATTAAATCCATAATGGTGTAATGAAATGGGCGACGCCACACGAAATGCTCTCATTGCACTGGCCACTCTCACTTTTAATAAAAAGAAGAAAATAGGTAAATCGTAATCTGTGGTTTGAACTAAAATGCTATTTTATAATGTTTTGAGGGCACTAAGTAAGTGTGGTAAATAAAATGGACCTTCCTTGTGCGACGATGGTGACAATTACTGGAAAATGGGTGAAAGGTTTCTTTATAATACGTACCGACTCGCTTCTTCTTTATTTCGGTGCGACGGAAAAAATTTCAACAATTGTCGTCGGATGTTTTAAACTGAAGGCAATTTGTCACAGTTTGGAACGAGCCTAAGAAACGTACGTTTATCGTTGACGTTTTGAGGTCGAATTTTATTGCGTTTTTTTTTGTTAGTTTTCCTAATTTAGGAATACGTAAAGTCACTTCACTTTGTGTTATTTAAATATAAGTCACATTCAACGAACAAATAATAAGCTTGATAAAGTATTTTTGAAGTTATACTTCTGTTGGCGCGTTTGGAAAAAATATGAGAGTATAATCTTTACGATTCTCGCGCACACCGACCCGCAATTTAATCTTTGTAACCAATAACAGTACAATAATTTGACATTTACCAATATTTCCAAATTATTTAAAGATACCGTTATCAATTGAATTTAATGACTTTAAGCTAAAGAAGTATAACTTCTTTTGTGCCTACATAAGTACACACATGCTTTTTTTTACTATGGCTAAGACAAGAGGTGTCCGTTAATAGTTCTATTATGTTTTTTCTTTCATGCGTGAGGATTTAGAAAAATGCGTGGCCCCGTCCTAAGAGCATTGATTGCTCAATATCCTTGCGTGTAACTGTGTCTTTAACAACAGGCTGTGCCCTACCTCCGTTTGTGCAATATTTGATACAATAACATCAGAGTAGAGCACAGAATCTGTTAACACTACCAACGTTACGAGCCCGTTTTACAGTAAATATACGGTGGGATGCACTATATAATCATCAAAATATACAGTATAGACACTTGATCGCTTCCTATTAGGCTTAAGAACTAACCGAAAAGTTATACTTAAGTTGTAGTTAGTAGAGTTTAACTAAAGCTGATAAATACTAGTCGTAAAGCTTAGGAAGTTCTAGTGCCAATTGATCGTGCGTCCTTACTCGGCGCGGTCGGCATTCAATTAGTCTCACGTTCTTCAGCCAACAATTGACCACGGCTGGTATCGTGAGAATGTGGGGAGTCGCCGTCTGAGTCTGCCGGAGCATGTGCTGCGATACCTATCTGACCCGACGCCGTGAACTAGCTGTTCTTTGACTCACATTGCACGCAAACCATGAACGACGCATTATCCGCCCCACATAGAAACACTTACCTTAGTCCGCTCAAAACCGTCGCCACCTTCCTTCCCATGAAATTGTAATTACGTCTTCATTTCAATTAAACTTATAATTTACGGCTACTTTTTGAATTGTCGAAATCGTCTACACGTGGCAATTCATATTTATGTCGTATAGAGTTATTTATTATCACTTTTTTTATTCATAAAACATTTTATGCTAACACTCATGGACATCGACTTTAATACATTAGTTGTATTAAGTTTTCTTATTATTTGATATTCTTTAACAATTTGTATTTTTGGTTCAAATAGACCTTTGTGACTATTATTTGAGTACGATAAAAATAATATGAGAGTCTTTATTGGCCTCTGCAAAAGCATAATATAAAACATTATCCTATTGCAGGAATCATAGTCTGCTTTGAATATGGCTTGGTTCTTCAACAAAAAAGAAACCAATAACAAAACTTCTAAATGACAATCACACCGTTTCATCTATGAGTTCCATTATCTCAATGGATTTATTAGATATCGAACAGTCTTCTTTTGAAGTTACACTTCTTTTGGCGCGTTTGTAATAAATTATGACAGTAAAGTTTTTACGATGCGTACGCACGCCGACCCCCAAAAAGCGACATGATGAAGTTGGTTGGCTAAGAACTTCATGGTATTACGATGGCAACCAATAACCAATTCCTGACATTTACCAATAATTCCAAGCTATAAATAACCGTTATAAATTGCATTTAATGTGTTTTTCACAAACAAAGAGATATACTGGCACAGTACATACCTAATATTTTACGTTATTTTTCCTTTTGTTATGCTAAAGAAGTATAACTTCTTACGTGCGTGCATAGTTTTTTGTATATGGCTGCTTCAAAGTTAACCAAAACTCTAATAGTTGTGGTTAATGGGGCCTCTCGTTCTTTAATTGTGATATTTTTATAACGGATTAACTAAGATGGAAAAACTAAATTTTTAATTATCATAGAAAATGGTATTTCTCTTTACAATATGCCTGATATTGGGCTTTAGAGAATTTTGATTCCTGGCACCTGGATGTAATCACGATGCACGAGAAGTGGCAACCGAGCAACAAACCACTGGCCCAATTTAATAACGCGTGCAGTTGCGTTGAGGCCCGCGGCGTGCGAACCGCCCTGGCATACTTACGACCAACACTTTTTGTGCAAAACTTTCGAGGGGTCGTGACTGTGAAATGGTGCATTACTGTCCGTAATTCGATAGTTTGTTTCGAATGCCAATGTTTCTCTTTTGATAATGGATGCAATCTTCGCGGGCCGCCGGTGGCAATCGGCGGGGAAATTGTTTTGTTTAACGTATTTGAATAACGGTTTTACTTTCGAAAGCGTTTTGGGTCAATGTTGCGACGTTAATTCGTTGGGAAGTTTGCGCGAGCGCTGGACGTTTTGTGGGTAAGCGCGATTCGTGTGGCGGAAGGACGCAAGGAGATTATCTCACGCTTGTCGCGTTCACCTGCACAGCTTACGTCGAATAATTTTAAAATAAGTATTTTCCTTGCTTTGTTTAAAATTTATGTGACTTTAAGGATTAGCGTACAGGTAAGAACGGTTTTTGCGTAAAGAAATAAAAATTATTAATACAAGAGCAACAATTGGTACTTTTTTTTTAGTAAAGTCACGTTACAGTGACTTTACTAAAGGGTTGACTTTTTAAAGGCTTTTTAAAGGAGTGGTCTGCGTGTTTACGGGACTAGAAGTCATTCGGGGAAGCGCTGAGCTGTAAGAATTTCAGTTGATCTTTAAATTGTAGCTTAACCGGACATTTCTCTTCTCTTGTTAGGTGGTGTTCATATCGGAGAAGAATAACTATATTCCAGTCAGCATAAAGCCCCGTTCGCCGGCCACTGACGTCGGTTGGCGGGAGCCACCAGCGTGGGAGAGAGAGTACAGAAAACATCGCACCAATGGCAGCAGAGTGCAGTGTACGTAGCTTTAGACATATACATATACAATTTATGGTTGAGTATCAAAATGTTTTAAACAATTAATCATGACAAATCCGCAAATAATCTATATACTCGCGAGATCTTGATATCTTAAGTCAGAGAAAGAAAGATGCGTTTAGTTTTTGTATATATCAGACAAATACACCAGTTTAATGATTAGTATTTTTGACTGATATTACTGGTCGATTCAATATTTTGGTGTGTCACTTTTAGGAGCATCGTTGTTCTACGCTACACTGTCCTCATTTTGTCAGCGTTTAATTTGAATATAATATTCCAAATATCAGGACCATTAAATAGCTACAAAAAGTTAGTAGTAGTACTCACCTACGCTTAAAACCAGCGTTAAAACTATAATATTAAATGTAGTTTCCCTTAAACATTTTGCAATAAGTGTTCAATCAAATTCAATCCCAGGAATCCCTAATTATTGTCGCGAAAAAAAAGTCCGACCTTTAGAATCTCGGCTTTACTTTAGAATATGAAAATGAAGTGATAGCATCTTTGGTTTCTTGCGACTAAGGGATTTACTACGGTACTTCATGTATCTCTTTGGTCAATCTTCCATCCTTCTTAATGTGAGTCTCCAGTGTTGCGACAACGGATGGACATGTGTAAAGCCATTTTATACACTTTACACAATTAACAAACACTAGCCTATTTAATACCATATATTTGTCGTACACAAATCCCGGTTTACGAAATGTATGTTGGAAAACTTAAAGCTGCAAAACACCAAACCGAACAAGACTGATCACTCAAGTCTTTATTTACTGCTATACAATTTTATCTTTAAGAATATGTGTAATTTAGACGGTCAGTTGCTCTGAGAAATAAATAATTAATATAATATTTACAGGTTTAAAGGGAAACGAACGACAATTACAGTCTGTTTTAAATTTTATTTTAAATGTTATTTTGGATTCACCACGAAACGAGATTCCATTTACGATACTGTTAGGGGTAAATTATCGCTAGGAGCAAAATCATTTATTGCATCATTTATTTCAGGTTACTAATAAATAATTTTTTTTATTAGATATCGAAGCGGAATGCCAAGATGACTTCATGAAGATCCGAGTAGGATTTAACGGATCGTTCAATGGACTGGTCTACTCGGCAGGTAATTTTAAATTTGCCCGGGTTACATTCTTTTCTTTTCATCGCCACCCGTAATAGGAGTAACGTCGGGGATGTATGACATTCAAGTTGGCGTTCCAGGTTTCTTGCTCGATGCTAGGAATTTCTGTCGGATATGAAAGTACTTTCACATTTTTGATAAATAACTTGTTTACGTTAACATTAGAAATTCCACTTTTGTAGAATGAAATCTGGTTGTGATTTTTAACCGAAGATCAGTAAAACACTGTCCGTGTAACTAAATTACCATGTGACTTTAAAATTCGTCGTAAGTAGGCAGCGAAAAATCTCACTACATGTAAGTCGGATACCGTAAATACAAAATGATAAGCTTTTAAGAATAAGACATTGTTCTAAGAGTAGCTCGAACAAAAGAGACCTACTGTAATAAATTAGAAAAAAGTTAGTGTGAAAGGTTACATTATAATTGCTCGCACTGCCACGCCCACATCCGTTAGCGGAGTGAATAAAGGCTTACAGTACTTGAATCCAACAGTTAGAAAGATAAGAAAGATGTTAATGCAGTAGGGAACTGGGTAAATTAGTTAAATGAAGGTAAGAGAGGAAAATAAAAAAAGACAGGACCAAAGTGTATAAGAAATTTTAAACATTTTAATCAATTTCCGTTTAGTTTTATATACATATATTTTTATGTGTTTTTGTGTGTCTTGTATGTGTTCTTTGTGTGCGACTGGGAATAGTGATACATTCATTACTATACGGCTACAAAGACTTGAAAAAGCATCGTTTGAATCAAATATTCTAAGAGTCGCACTTCACTATATACTTTTGTAAACGGTAGCTGGTAAATAAATGGTTATATCGGTATTTCAAGATGTTTATTATTTTATTGTTTTAAAACCGCACCCGCGTATAGCATATGCATATTGCAAACAATACCATTCTCTCGCAACGTTATCGCAGATAACAGGCCACAATGTGCAGCTTTGTCGTGAGACAAACGTTTAATTGTGCAGCCCGTTATTTCTTTAAGTTAAGCAAATTAAAATGTGTTAGCAATTTTGATAAGCGTTGAAGAGACAATCGGACAATGAGTAGTGTGTTTAATATTTTACACACTTGCGCCCGGTTTTTGAAACTGATCATTGTAGAAATTAACGAATCAGCTGTCATATGACTTTTCAAATGTTATTTGAGTTGCCAAAAGGATGGTTAACTCTCTGAATTGATCAGAATGATTTTCTTAATGATCAGAAGAAGAAGTTCGATATTAATGTTACCGATTATAAATACAATTACATGTATAAAAACTTACGCATGTCACAGACTAATGGAATTTTACCCGACTCCCGAGGGGCGGTAATGTTTTTCGAGCGTATGTATACATACCTATGTTTAAACATTTTGTAGGATTTCAAAGCTGAAGTGCAATTATATTCGTTTCAGTTGTGGAAGTAACATGGGGTATTTTTGATAGAGTCTGGTTTTTGTTTTACTAGATAATTTATTCTTATAAGTGTTTAGTTATTGTTTATGCCGGAAACAAACAATATGTAAACTTTTATTATTAATAACGTACGTGATATGAACATACTATGCAAGTAGATCACATGTACATGAGTTAATTTACAAATTATTGCAAGTTGTGGGGTATGTAGGTTTTCTGGAGTTATCAATGAGATCTTTGTATTATTCCTGCAGGTTATTCCTACGATCCGGACTGCATGTATATAAATGGCTCTGGCCGGGATTACTATGAGTTTTATATACAACTCAACCGATGTGGCACGCTGGGGAGAAACGGGCAGCATGAAGATACGAGGAAACACCCCACAGTGAGCTTTGACTTTCATTTATACTACATATCATTAATAGGAGTAATAAAGATACATATATGGGTAATTCTACGATATGAGGTTTCAAGTCCATAGAGATTACGGCCATGGAGAAAAGTTTCTGTTTTTTCATCAAACACTTATATAACGATTTTTGTCCTATTTATGTATCTTTTCACGCAAGGGCAAGTCACTTTATGCATATTTTATTAATTTTTACAAGGCCAGGGTAAATACATTGGGCAGGGTAGAGCTGGAGGCGAATATAACAAATTTTGTGCCATCGAACAATAGCAAGTAGTTTTTATTTCACCTGATGCTTGTTCCTTCGTGTAAGTGACGACCGTGTGCAGACTTATCTGTTGACGCGAACCTCCAAAATGGTAAGCCTGGATCTCTTCTGCGTATTTAGTTAAAAAACAATATTAGACATTAATATAATAACAATATGAACTGAGAACCTCCTTAATTTTCAGTTTTAAGAATTTATCAAAAATATTTAAAACTGTTTGTTGACAAAAATGCTATATCTAAGTTTATTTGCACCAACTCTCCCCTGGTCAACAAGTCTCTCCCCTGACAGTTATTTTGCCAGGGGAAATATAAAAGGGACGAGACTATTTTATGATAAATTTTATTGTTTTACTTGTCATACGAAATGTTGTTGTGTACCGAACTTTATGTATCACACTTTAACTATTGCATTATTATTAAATTAGACCAGTAAATGCAAATTAATTAAATGAATAATATAACTTTTATGACTTACCAGTGGAGAGACACAATGACCTCGCGAATCCAACACTTTGAACCAACGCATCGCAACAACTAACAAATGACGGTGCTCTTAACTGCTCACGTGTTTTGCATTGCTAAATTCGCGTCGATAGATGAACTTGGGGCCTATTGAATGTGGCCGTTTTATATTTCTGTTTGTAGTAGCGAAATGAAATTTGCCTGGGTAGATACCCAAAAACCGTGGGACAAAATTAAGTTTAAAAATATTGCAAATAAATAAACATTGTTCTATTTTTCCTTAACAATACTTAAATATATTTATGGAAGTTTGTGTTTTACATACTTTAGTTTAATAACTGATACAAAGAAGGTATGTATTGTTCGCAAATTAAACTGAAACGAAAAGGGGACAGGCCAGGGTAGAGACTTTTTTAGACTTCATAAGGAATTTCAGAAAAATATACTTTAATTGGGCATTTAATCGTGACGTTATTTAATAAGGTACATTTAGGTGATATGTTTCATTGCAAATAATAATAAGATATATAATATAATTTTTATTATAAACTGATTGCCGCACACGTTACCTTTTATCGTAGAATCACCCATATATTTTTTCCTTATTCATAAAAATTACCTCTATTATGGAATAACATTATACTGTATTTGAGATAAGATCATTGCGATCCGAAATAATTATTTGTAGATCGTACAAACATTTCCTCTTAGCAATTTGTCTTTAGCTTTTATCTTTTTTAATCTTTTGTCTTATTACAAAACATTTATAGTTTTATGACGTATTATAGTTTTTACTGACTTTAAGAAAGGAGTTTTAGAGTTTAATAATTTACAAGTTTCATTAGTGTGAATGGGTATTTGCTTTTTATTACTTATGCCCATGCCAACAGAATAACTTACTAAGCGGTAGCAGGGGAAATTTATAAGCCGTATATTTGAAAGGAAATTATTATATTGTAAAGAAATTATTCAGTACGAAGTTCGTAATTAACAGATTTTTTAACATGAAACGTAAAGAACACGTTCCTATTGCGCAGAAGAACCTTATGTGGAACACCATCACCGTCCAATACAACGCGCTCATCGAGGAGGAGCTGGATGAGCACTTCAAAGTCACCTGCGAGTACGGCTACGACTTCTGGAAGACTGTCACCTTTCCCTTGCTCGACGTGGAGTGAGTAATCTCTTTATTTTTTTGCGAATGGCTGTTAAGTTGATATTTTCAACCTTATTTCGTTTCTAGTCTAAGTTTTGTTTAAAAATTTATGGGTAAAGTCATTAGCCTTATTGAATTGAATCAGTTGGAGGTATTTGTAACAAATTATTTATTAAGTAGGGATTTGCTTAACGTTTGATACGTTCCAAATCCGTCCTAGATTAGCCTCAGTAAAATTTGCGCCGAATATGCTTCAGATTTAAAGATCAATACATTGATATATATGACATGCAGTCATGGCTCTGCACTAACATGTATAATCTGGCCGCTGCTGATTTGTGCTAATATTTTTGTACCGTACTTCTTAAAAAAAAGAGGGAATTTATTCGATCGTACGGTTTCTTGCCGGTATAGGGGTTGTCTCCTGAATGGATAGACTGTATAGTTCAACTTAGGCCCTTGGGTTTTGATTGAAGAATGTTCCAACTTCGATTTCACCTCTTCAGGGTGGCGACCGGGAACCCAGTGGTGTTCACGCTGCAGCCACCGGAGTGCTACATGGAGATCCGTGCCGGGTACGGGGCGGGAGGGGCGCGTATCTCGGGCCCCGTACGCGTGGGGGACCCCCTGACGTTGCTCATTTACATGAGGAGTGCCTACGGTAAGCGGGGTGGTTGGAGGTCTGAAGCATTGAAATAGGCGAGCCTGCTTTTGGAGCGGTGTTTTTTTTTTCAACGTAGAAAGTTCTGACGTTACTTATGTACACTAGGAGTGCTTACGGTAAGCAGGGTTGGAGGTCTAGAACACGGTAATAAGTGAGCCTGCTTTTTTGAGCAGTTTTTTTGTCACTTTTTTGTGTAATTGATCGTTAGTAATATTATAAAGGCGAAAGTTTGTATGTACGGATGGATGTTTGTTAGTCTTTCACGCAAATCGATTTTAATGAAACTTTCAAATAATATACTTTATACATCAGAATAACACATAGGCTATAATTTATATACATATTGTTATGGATATCAGACAGAAAATCTGAATGTTACGCTTTCACGCCAAAACTACTCAATCGGTTATCATGAAATTTTGTAATCATATTCTTAGAGGTATTAAAAAGGACAAAGGATTCTATTTATTAAAAAAAAATGATTTATTTAAGGGCTTCAACACGAGCGAAGCTGCGGGCGAAAAGCTAGTAGGAAAATAAATCCTCGTTGGACAATTATTAGGTTGATAAAAAATTGTTTTTGAAGACATTTCAAACGCCTGCGTATATAAGTCATTGGTTTGAGATACTAGCGTCGCATATTCGTCATGCACTAGCTTCTTTATTCCTTTTGGGTACTTGGGTCCACTTCCTTAGAAACTATCAACCGGACTGACAATAAACTGACGGTCATAAATAAAAAGCTACAGGGATTCGAGCACGCGATATAATTTTCAAAAGCCACTTTCGACATTTAACTGATAAATCTGAATTTGAATTTACTGACTTATTACATTTTATTTTAATAGCGCATGATTATACAGAACTCAAAATAAGTATAGAACAAGGATGATATTTTTTTTAAAACATTGCCCTTACTTTGGGATAACATTATCCTTTGTTGTAAGGACGTTTTTACAAACATAAATTTCACGCGGACAAACAGCCAGATGCGGGTGTGTCACAAATAGTTGTCCCGTGTGGGAATCGAACCTACGACCCCGACGAAGCCGATACCTTGGCGACTGTGCCACGGAGTCATCATAATGTCAAAAGAATGTCTCATAACAAAACTCTGTGAATGTTTCAGTTCAGTTGTCTTGCGTTTTGCGTGAAGATATTGCCGTAAACATAAAGGATATGTAGCGGTCAAATGTAACATACTACGTTTTAGACGCGGCCTATAAAACCGAGGAATGTTTAAATCAAACGGTCGCGGGACGGACTAAAGAGACAAATTCGGTTATAACATCCAAATACAGCTATTTGCGGCAATAAATATTACGAGCGATACGGTCTAGTCGCCCATTAAAACCGTATTCTACAATAATTGTTATTGTTGTGGGTTGCCGTCGCAGCAAGGGCGGCGGATTTAACGGTGCAAACTGCTTGCGTGTCTCGCTGCAATGTACTGCCAAATTGTCAGGTTCATTGATCCTAGACAGATCGGAATTCGCCTTTGAACGGTCTTCGAAGAAGTGTGTCAGTAACGTAACAAGTCTTCCCCTTTATCGGTTTGAATGCTATTTACAAAATGAACAAAATCAAAATCAAAATCAAATGTATTTATTCAACATAGGAGCATTACACTCACTTATTGATAGTCAAAACACTACCACCGGTTCGGTGGTAGTGTTTTGACTATCCGATCGATTCGATCCGATCGATCAATTTGTTCGGCTCATTAGAATAATATCTGTATATTTCATTTTAATTAAAAAAAAATACGTGTATCTAGTTAAGTGCACACGTAAGAAGTGATACTTCTATGGCGTAACAAAATAAAAATTACTCCGGAAAAAGGATTTCATTTTTAATGATTTGAGCTTTTGACAACTAATTGATGTTAGAATCGTTTTTAGTTATTATCATATTATATTGTTTCTAGTTACCATCTAGTATTGTTACTACGAGTAAAGTGCGATTTGTCTAACTTAATGATATTAAATGAAACTACTTTACGGATTTTATCGCGTTTTTTATTTTAATTTAAATTAAAATAAAAATCCGTAAAGTAGTTTCATTTAATATGTATAATATTCGGGTAAAATCAAGAAAACAATAACTTAATGATGGTAAATGAACGTCGCTGTGCGCACGCATAGTAAAAATGCTTACTATTAATAAAAGCACGATAAGATGTTTACGTCATTTATAATATTATAATTACAACTCGACCATATTCAATGCTTCTTAGGCATGAAAATCCAGTAGTTTATGCAGAACATGCATCTGTTTCGTTTCAGATGGATTCGACATTGTGGTAAACGATTGCTATGCGCATAACGGTGCCGCCAAACGGATACAGCTAATCGATGAGTACGGGTAAGTAAGAGCCGTTTCAGTTGTCCAATTTTTATCAGTTATCATCTATTTAAAGTTTATTTGAATTACTTAGTGAAATAAAACTATATAACGGGTCTTACCCCCCATAAAATGTTCCCGATGTTCGAAAACTTTACAGCGCTCGAGGTAACAGACGCCGTTGATTCCGTCTGGATTTAAGAGCAAATTAAACTGATTCATGGTTCATATTGCCAATATGTTTATTTATTTAGTCAATAAACTTAAAATAAAAATTACGAAGAACTTTGCTTTAGAAATGTTCCCAATCAACTTGCTGTGGAGAGATGCAACATTCCTGTTGAAATATTCACATATAATTATAATATACAGTTAACATGCTTACATGTGTAAGATAAAGTACAATTTATATATATATATATATATAACTGATAGTGGGATAATGATAACCTATACGAATACTATTTCATTATTCTTTTGCAAGTGAAAAGTGCTTCATTGAGCCCTATCAAATTTTCTATGGTTAAGACATTCGCGTAATTGTCTTGTCTTTATTGGATTATATATAGAAATTCAATTCAAGGACAGTGTATAGTTTTCTTATCGAGTCCGTGATATTCTTAATGCTACGCTGCCAAGAGTTAGCTAAAGTATGTATTTATATCTAAATTAGTAAGACCGTGGTAGAGTGCTATAAGGAAAGGAGGCTGAAATTGGTAACTATACGATTATCTTGCGTATTTTTTCTTTTTTTACTTCAAGGAGAGCTTCGTTGCTGTAGAGAAACGAAACTGACGTACTAAGTGAGAAGACTGTAGAGTCAGGACTAGTAATGGAACCTAGATTTGTCTTCGTAGATTTAGAATACAATTGTTAACAATTAACTCCTGTTGTTCCAGGCCAACGCCAGGCCGGTTTCAGTTACGTTTTTTAAATATTGTTTCGGTTCCGGGTACAGGATGCTAAATTCAATTTACTATAAACTGTTATAATGTTTTGGATAGTGATCAAATTAAGTTATTAAAAACGAAATATATATATATAAATTACACATATCAGAGAACCGCAAGGCAATTATAACAAATAATCGTTAACATTATAAAAGAAACGATTGGGATTAGGATTTTGTTGTTATATAGAAGTCGCAAATAAATACAAATCCAAACCCGAGCCACCAGAACTCTAAGGATTCATAATTTACTCAGGTGCCTTCAAAATTTTCTATGTTATTAATAATTTTACTTCTATCGACTCGTTACCCTAATTGTTATTTGGGATATGAACATACTTAATTCATTCTACGAATCGTTCCGTTTTCTATCCATATTCCTTTATACCTGGTCGTGGAGTAACTGAACGTCATAGCAAACAAAAAGCTGAAAAAAAAAAAGAAGTAATGAATATTCATTTACAATGCGTACATTGTACGTTGTGAATTTCTACTTTTTTGAACAATAGTCAGTCGATAAGATTTACATCTGGGACTTATTTTTCATCCGTTAGCTAATTGCATCGAGGTTTTATTGATAACGGTAACGCTGTTACAAAGTCAACGGTCTGACCTTTATACGTAATTTATTGAAGTTATACTTCTTTTGGCGCGTTAGGGATAAATGATGGGAGTAAATTTTTAAAGATGCGCGCGCACACCGTCACGAAAAACCGACACCCTGAAGTTAGCTAGACATCTACGTATGTTTGCGTGAGAACTGACAACTGTATTCACGATAATTATTTAGTGATATATAATTATATAAATAAACTTTATTTAACTAGATAATGCGTTATAATAAAACTTTCAATGTATAAAATACCTTTTTTTCTATTGTTAGTGTCGTTTTTTTTTATGTGAAAAGTTGCCAAACGAGTAGACGGTCCGCCCATGGACATCTACTATACTCAAGGGTTCCAGATATATTGACAACATTTTGGAAATTGGGCTTTTTCTACAAACGTAGAATAAGGTGAAAGATAAAATTTTGAAAAGATTTTTATCTTGTTACGCCAAAGAAGTATAACTTCTAACGCGTGTACATAAGTACACACACACACACTTTTTATTATAGTAATACGTAATTTTTGTATTTCTTTTACAACATTGATAAGTTTAAAAAGATTATCTTGTGACGTATTCACAAAATATTATCTGTAAGTCAAACAAATACATTTAACATAATCTATGGTAAATATGCCGTTAGTATTTCGTTTGATATATTAATTAAACACTATTTTAATCATATTGTTCATATCGAATGGATCACATTTTTAAGGCATCCTAGACGTGTACTAGCTTCATTAGCATTAAATAGGCCGCGTAATAATTTTCTAAGGCTGGCATTTTGCTTTTAATTTTTTTTTTACTTTTTTATTTTTTTCGATATTGAGTCTTTTTTGACAATTTATCTATATATTTTAAATTAGTTCTTATTTTATCTATTTTTTCACAGTTGTCCAGTAGACGACAAGCTTATCTCGCGATTCCGCGGCTCCTGGTCGGAGGCGGGTGTTTTCGAGACACAAGTCTACGCGTACATGAAGACCTTCCGCTTTACTGGTTCACCGGCGCTCTACATAGAGTGCGACGTCAGAATGTGCCATGGAAGATGTCCCGTGAGTAACTTAACAGCTCCGCTTCTCCATCATAACAACCATTTTGGTAGCGATTCAATCATTTTCCCATCACGATGACTTGATTCATTGATTTTCCTTCTCTTTCTTACGAACTTCCTTCATCGAAGTGCTAAGTTTAAAATTGTATTATTTTTCGCGAAAGCCTTCGTCATGCATTTCACATTATCTTTTTAAATTCATTCATCTCCTCGGCCATTCAGATTATTTTGTAGTTTGTTTGTTTCACGTGAGATTCTATACCTATTGTGATGAATATTCATTATTGTGTTAAATAAAATATTATACTATTATTGTAAATAGAATACACAGATAATGATTTAAATAAAGACGATACTTGCGAAGTTTATTTTAAAACTTGACATGTGATAAAAACAATGCTTGACTTGTTAAAAGCTTATTATAAAAGTTTTAATAAAGTATTATTGCACATTATAATAAACACTTTTATATTAACGAACTACAGATTGATTTCCAAATGGAAAGAAATAAAAATAATCCAACTTACGTTTAATGAAATAGTAATTGTAGGTAATTATTTTCTAACCAAAGAGGTTTTCAACTAAATCGCGATGTATTTTTTTTTAATTTCTCTGAATGGCCAGCCTTCACATCCACATCATTCATCTGTTACCAGTCGCAACCGTGCCATTGGCGCAACATGAAGAGTGTACGGCGGCGTTCGGTCCCAGGCGGAGCGGGGAGCGGAACGGAGAGCGGGGCGGAGGCCGCTGTGGCACCGCGCCTCTCCGAGAACATATCGCTTTTCCAGTCCCTGCGTGTGCTTCAAGAAGGCGAGGAAGACGCCGAGATGGCCCCCAGCAAAGGTATTACATTTTCAATATGACGGCTAATCAATATTTTTATTTTTGTCATCGTAATTAATTCCCCCTCCCTCCTTTTTCATCGGGATCCTATAATCTTGTCTAAAATAAGGAAGAAGTGTTTTGATCAATATATCTATTATCAGTACATATAGCTGATTCGTGCATGGACGGTTGAGTACATCTACTGTTAATTAGGGAAATAAAATCTTATGAGAAAGAAATGAAGCGCCTGACGGCTAAATAAATAAAAAAAAGTCGTTGCAGAGGCGAATTTTCTTTGTATCGTTAAGACATTGATTACAGCTACAGATTTGTATAACGAAATTAATAAGAATAATTGATGAATTTGGGTCCAGCTTTAAGTGCTTGGAATATTAGAAAAATAGACTTTGAAATAACCATAGATTAAAAATTTTTTCAGCCGCGGCGGATGGTCAAACCTGCATTAGGACGTCCGCCCTATCCGCTATGGTGGCAACGTGTGGGGCACTAGTGGCAGCGCTGTGTGGTGCTTTACTTGTTCTAGCGCGCGGTTGCAGAAGAGATAGGGTCACAAATTCGCTCCATCATGCCTATGTCCCACACAAGGGAAGAATCAAATAGAGCCAAAAATTATTCATTAGATTAAGACAATATAATGGTTGTACAATTAACCTTCCGCGTGATGGAAGATTTAGATATTTATTTATATTAGGATTTAGATGGAAAGAAATGGATTTTGTGTTGTAATCCAAAAATTACTTATGATAGGGTATTTCGAATTCTTTATAATAAATAATAAATTTCCATACTTTTAGACATAGATTGCTGTATACGGTCTTAACTCGGTTAATTATCAAGTTTTTAAAACTCTTGTAGTATGGACACATTGGTATGGTATAAATTGCGTTTACAAGTTTTGGAGAATGTTTCGAATAAGTCAAATAGTACGATTTTAAGAATTAGCGATCATTTAATTTACAACGACCATAATCCAGGGGTGTTGAAAAAATGTATAATATTAATATGATATTAAGTATACCATACCATGTTATTGCCACAGAAGAAGGTAACTTTAATGATATTTGGTTATCGTATCTCGATTTAATCTAAGATACGTCCCAAAGATGATTTGTTTTATTTTACAATTACCTTAAAACGATTACATTAAAAAAAAATCTTTGAAACTTAAATACTTTTATAGAGTTAACAATTAAGACGTTAAGACATTTCTTATTTGTAATATAGTCAAATAGGAAATTACCATAATTATGTATGTCTACGTAATTTATGAAAATGTAAATATGCAATCACCACGATGAAGACGATTTGGAATAAGAATGACAAATAGAGAGGATTTATATTTACTGATAAATGTTTCTCCTCCTGTTTGCTATGTTTTAGGTTAGAATTGTGATACAATAACTATTTTAGCGAAATAACAAATAGCGTAATATTAAAAATGAGTATATAATATTATATAATCAATTTAAGGCCAATTATGATAAAACAATAAATTTAAATTAAATGATAAAACAATAAATTTAATTTAAATTATAATTTAAATTATAAATTAATTTAAATTAAATTTATTGTTTTCATCACCACCGAAACGAATTTTCGATTTCAATTGTATAACATCAATTTATATTCTGTTTAGTACTTAAACAACGAAACTGATTTATAACTTATTTAGCGGCCGAAATATCTTATGGAAGTTTCATGTTTTCTCCAAAAATCTCGGTTTAAATTAATTTAATTTGAACCAATTCTATTTTTTATTTATTCTTCGCATATTTGTAAATATCATTTAATTTAGTGCCTTTACTAATTTATTCATTCATAGATTATAATAAACGAATAAATAAATTAATTTTCTTTTATTCAATTTATTTTACAAAATAAAGTAATAGCGCTTAAATCCAGAGGCGTAGAATTTCACAGTGGAAATTATAATTCCAAAATAAGAGAAACTTTAAATAGATAACTATTTTTTTTATTATATTGTACTGAAAATAGTATAAATTGTACTGTGGTTCAATTTTAAAATAATATTTATAAAACTTTACAATATGCCTAAAAATTATAAAAGTTTATATTTCAGATTATTAAAAAGAGATATACTTGATTTAGGTAAAAAAACAACGTTTATTAACTCACACAAAATACAAGTAAAATATAAATTACACAAGGTAAATGAACACAGAAAAAAATCATTTGTAACAACTTAAAAAAATATTGCATAATTCGATGTGTTGATTTGAAAAAGTGTAAAAATTAAAAATAAATCTTAAATTTAAATGTGTAAAAATAAATACTGTAAAAATTTGTTCTTCGTTTCTAAATTATAGGTACAGTTCGCATCTTACTCTAAACTTCGTTTGTGGTGGGAAGCTTTTCTAGAACTTTCTCCAGGTACTTTATGGCACCGTCTAATATTTGCACTTCGCACTCTTTGAGCTGTTTTATATTTTTCCTGCAAAGAATAATAAAATAAATAAATAACTTTTAAGATTAGCATGGCAGCTCAGTGTCTACGGGCGTTTAGGGTTCATAAAAAGTATAGTCATAGTAGTCATGGAACTATCCAAATACAAATGTACGAATAAAGATTGCTAATTGCCATCTTATGTGCTGATTTACCACGTGCCATACGGTCAAGGAAAACAACGTGAGGAAACCTGCGCATGTTAAAAATAACTGAGAAAAAATATTTTGAAGATATTCTGGTAGTTCCGAGTGCGGTCGCGTGGTGGTTTATACCCTACAAATAATACAGACGAGGCATTTGCTTGGCATAGTACTGGGACATATACAGGCTCTTACTAAGTTTATGATATAATAATCGAACTGTCCATTTTATTGGTAAAAAAATTAAGTCCGAATAGTTTACTGTTAATGTTACATAAAATTTACCATCACTGTTTATTGATACAAATTCAAATGTGTTTATTCAAGATAAAAGCATTACATCGATTGTCAAAATACTACCACTGGTACGGAAAAGAAAAGCCACAGACCTGAGGAGAATCGGTGGAAGAAACTCAGCGGGACATTTTTTTTTTAAATATTTGACAGCAAAATATGTTTACTATAAGAGCCTGGAGCGATCAATTAATTTCTAGTGTGTTCTTATTTTTCTACCAGGCATTAATCCTGGCTATTGACAGGGTCTGCCATTTCCAGAGTGTGTTAATTCAAATAATCACTAATATTATAATAACCTTAACACATAAACATTCCTTTACAAGTAATGTGTCCAGCCACCAGGCCACTTTATTACCTGTGGACAGTGTCAGGTGGTGACTCTTCAGGGTCCATCTTGTAGGAGGCTCGTATTAGTTTACACCTTGTGATCAGATATTGATAAGCGCGTCTGTCCAAATCGGGCCCAACGGCCTCGGCGCTAGGCGATTCCCAGGACACAAGGTCACCAGGTATACTTTGGTTTGACCATTTTGTGAGCTCCTCTGAAATGAACAAAGAAATCTTTTCAAATCTATATATGAATATAAGAGATTTTCACCGATAATTGACTCATCACGATATCTCTGGAACCATAAGGCGTAGAGACTTGAAATTTGGGAGGAATATTCCTTTCGCCTAGGAGGTCGGCTAAGGATTCTACGAAATATTACCTGTTGGTTCCGCTAGTTATACCAAAAAATAAATTCCGACTCGTACAATTTTCCAGCTCTGTTTATAGTTTTCCTCTCGACACAACAAATTTTTATAAAAAATATGCAACGAACTCTTTATATAATGACTATTAGCTGGTTACGCCAAGATTATTATGTTCAATTTAATAAGATGTAATCATTTTATGTAGACACGACACGGTGGAGAGAAGTAGAAGATAAAGTTCTTAGTTTACAGCAGGGTTTAATATAAAAATGTTGGATAGCAAATTTTTAAATATATTTATCATAAAGTTCAGAACCACAACGGACTTTAAGCTACCTATTGCAGCTCTGATGTCGAAAAGGGGCACTCACCTTGATTCATCGTGAATATCCTTATAAAGGCCATCAGTTCGGGGCTCATGGGGGGTTCGCTCTTGTACAGGCTGAAATGGGTGACCCCGGCGAGACCGAGCTTGCTCAGCAACGACAGCCTCACCTCGCGGGCCGGATCGCCCGAGCTGATCCCCAGCGCTAGGGATAGACTGTCGTGCTGGTTGTTGGGGTACACGAACCTTGAAATAGTGGGAACCTTTTCTTCATTTTCTTTTTATTTTATATGTTTTTGAACATTGCCCTTACTTTAGGATGACATTATCCTGTGTTGTAAGGACTTGTTAAAAACATAAATTTCACGCATACACACACCCAGATGCGAAACAATTACCTGTGGGTCACACGTATAGTTGTCCCGTGTGGGAATTGAACCCACGACCCCCGACGCCGAAGCCAATACCTCGGCAACTGCGCCACGGAGTCATTATTATTACTGAATATTAGCCTAGGGCCACGCAATAGTCCTTGATGTTGGTCGAAGGGACAGGTCCTTCCGGGTAAGTACTACGACCTCACAGAAGATCGACGTGAGATGGTCATACTTCTGTGTTTCGTCTTGTGAATGAGGTAGCCGGGACTCACTATATTAAAAGGTGGCAACGCATCTGCCACCCTACGGGTGTTGCAAATGTCAACGGGCGGCGGTTTCCACTTAACTTCAGGCGAACCGCCTGCTCGCTTGCCACCTTCTCACATAAAAAAAAAAAATATTTTGTGCCATACAGCAGCTTGTTTTAATGTGAAAATATGGCAAACAAATACAAGGTTCACTGAAGGTTAAGCGATTACCGCCTCCAATAGACACATGATGGATTGCAGATGCTCTACCAACATTAAACAAGTGACCGGTTATTTCATTCACCAGACGAATCGTATAATATATAATACTTCCATACGTCTATCTTATGTAAGGCTGCGGTACTTCCCCGGACGAGTTCGCCCATTCGTGCAAAACAGAACCGTCTGCGTGGCCCTACCGCAGTTCAACTTATGTTGTTGCGTGGGCAAGTCAGAGGATCGAACCCACACCCTATGGCGCAGGAGTTAGGTCGACTATCCACTATGAATAACACTTGCAGAAATCTTTGTTCATGCTTCTATTTGGAATGTAAAGGTGCGAAACAAGAAGACGACGTTGACTAGGACGCCGTGCCTAATGAAGGTAGAACGAATGATTTTCTACTTTATTTCTTTTTCCCTAATTATAAATAACCAACATGTTGCTCAAATGTAGAGGAAAATACGAAACTTTTGAAATTATAGGAGTACAATGTCTAATACTTGTTATGCATGTTAGACTATGATGTTAGAATTTTTATTCTATATGTTAATATTATATATTACCATACATGCGTATTTTTATGTGCGCATAATGTAACTCAGTTCAACTCCTGCAAAGGAAGGAACAAATGCGATATAACTTTTAAAGTCTTCTCCATGAAAACCAGTTGAAATGTATAATGTTTACGTAATGTGATGCAATCGATCGCAACTGGCATCATTTATGCGTAGATTATATAATAGTGCTGCTTACATAGCGGGAATACAAAAACAGAGCGCGCAATATGTATTGTGTGGTATTGGCAACAATACAATTCGCGTAACCACATTGGCCTATTACTTGCAAATTTAAAACAAAAGGGAATCTAAACGTTCGAGAGAATCTAGCAGTTTCTACTGTTTCATCAATGCGCCTGCTCATCGGGGAAAGATCTCACAGAAGACCAGAGCAGGACATAAATGCTGTGGTCTTTTATCTAATGAGTGAAGTAAACAGAGCCCGACCTTTAAAGAGTTGGCAACGATCCTGCAATCGCTCAGGTGTTGTAGAAGTCCATGGCGGTAATAGCTTTTGAAAATGTGAAACACTGTTTCTTTTACCACTCTTGGATAATATTGATGTCTCATTTTAAATTTCAAATATTCAATATGGGATAGCGCGATTACGCAAATACTCGAAAGGTTGCTTAGATAAATTTACATTACTTTTAAAAGTAGTATTTTAAAAATAGAAAGTGCTATTAAAAGTATGTTAAAAGTAGAAACAATCCCAGCATAACATAATCAAACCTTTCAATCAAGTAGGCGGAGAAAAGCAATAATGGAATTTCACAAAATATGCAATTTGCAATTCGACACGGAGGCGTACTAAAAGTCTAATAACATATCTGATCGATTGAATTGACTATTCAAGACAATTTGACATCGTTGATGATATAATACTTCAAGCTATAATGCTATAATGCTGTACGCTATAATGCTTCTGTAAAGGATAAGAAAGGTCTTGGACATGTTTTTGCATAACGTTATCTAGTCCCAAAGTAAACAAAAATATAGATAGTAGGTATATGAGCACACTTTTCTTTGGCAAATAAATACATATTATAAATATATAGAAACCAAGACACCAGAAAAACACTGTGTACAACGTAAAACACTTTTCTAGTTCTGGAAATCGAACCCATGACGTTTGACGCAAGAGACGCAACACTTCACAATACTTATCGGATCGTCAAGGTTTTTCTGTTATTAACAAGATAGTTTCCATAGCCATGACTAAGGCGTGCCAACTTGGCACCATGTTTAAGCACATTGGTTCCATAGATTTGAGCTTAGATAACTTTCTACTGCGAATATGGTGCAGGAGTTACCGGTACTATAGACTACGTCACGAGCCATACCCGTTGTGCAGGAAAAGATCCGCGTTGGATCTCGACCCGTAGAAGATGAATATTTGCTCCCCGGCTTTGAAGTCGCGTAAAGCGTAGCATTCGCCCCTGTTTTTCTCCTTGTTGAAATCGGTGGTTATCTGGAGGAGTGGTGCATTTAACGATTAAAATCAGTGTATAGTGGGTCTGTATTGTAGTGTTCCACGCAACGGGAATTCAGGGGATTGGTAAATTTAACGAATGTGTAGTGAGTCTGCATTGTAGTGTTCCACACAACGGGAATTTAAAAAAAAAACGGCTAAATGCGAGTCGAACTCGCGCACGAAGGTTTCCGTACCATTATCTATAAAAACGGCAAAAAAGTCATGCCTGTTGTTCATGGGAGCCCCAAATAAATATCTTTTTATTATGTTTTTTAGTATTTGTTGTTATAGCGGCAATAAAATACATCATCTGTGAAAATTTCAACTGTATAACTATCATGGTTCATGAGGTACAACCTGGTGACAGGCAAATGAATATCACTTGTTTATATTTTTTGCTCTTTATTTCTTTTTCTTTTCTTTCTTTAAAAAAACATTGCCCTCACTTTAGGATAACATTATCCTGTGTTGTAAGGACGTTTTACAAACATAAATTACACGAGGACAAACACCCAGATGCGAAACAACTATCTGTGGGTCGCACAAATATTTGTCCCGTGTGGGAATCGAACCCACGACCCCCGACGCCGAAGCCAATAACTTGGCAAATGCGCCACGGAGTCATCATATTTGTTGTTGTCTCATTCCTGTCAACAATTAAGACTTCAGAGCAAGATGTTACAACGAATAAAACTAAACCAGAGTTATGTGTGGGCGGCTACCTTGCCGTGCTCGTGGTTGCACATGTCCCAGAGCGGTATGAACGCAGTAGTCGCGGAGTCAGCTAGCTGGATGTTGTTCTGTCGCGTCATCACCGTGGAAACGGCCCATCTGAAAAGAAAAAACAATAAAATACCCCTCAGCGTTCGAGATAAGAAATAAAAAATGATGTCCCTATATACATAATTTATTTTTTTTTACATTGTACTCGAACAACCTGAGTGCAAATCCCGGTTCCGGCACCAATTAAATTGTTAACTTTAAGTGCTGAATCATCACGTGCTCAGCGGCGAAGGAAAATATCGTGAGAAAACTTGCATATTTTCGAAATAATAACTAAAAAAATTATTCGAAGATATGTCAAGTCTGTCAATCCGTAGTGGGGTTGTGTGGTGGACTATGCCCTAATACTTACTCTGTTAACGTGAAGGCATTTGCCCAGCAGTGGGACATATACAGGCTTACTTTACTTTTTTTAGAGACATGCAGCAGTTTCTACGTGAATGGGCAGGTTAATCCGAAAACCCACTAAAGCTTTTCACATATGAACCAAGTAATTGTTTATTTTCCAAAGTTAACATGACCCAGATTATTTTTAAACCTGACAACTGACGCATATTTACAAACGGCCCAAAATGAAACCCTGGACCGAAAAAGAAAACTATGCGTAACACAAATCGTTCTTATACAATCCAAACAATTCAACATAGGCAACTATTGTATAACAATGAAATTTTTGCGCCCACCGAAGGAAATTACCGGCAGTCAACAATTAAGATATAAACAGAATAAGCCGCTAAAGTTCTCATGAATAACTCCATTGAATAATTTCTTAAGCGTTTATGTCTGTTGGTCCATGTAATGAGAAAGTTGTTATTTAATTCAAAATTCAAATCGACTTGGTATTACGTAAACGAAAGCAGCGTATTCGGTATGTGTAAAATTTTATAATAACATGTCTCATATATTAAAATCCCTTATAGTATCTTTTGTATCGTTTTTTGACCCGATTGGCGTAGTGGGTAGTGACCTGGAAAAATGTTGTGTGATGAACATAGTGTTTTTCCAGTGTCTGGGTGTTTATAGATGTATTTATTTACAAAAGAAACATATGTTCAAGTATGTTTATCGGTTATCTAGTACCCACAGTACATGCGATGTTTAATTTGGGACTAGAAAACGTTGTGTATAATGTCCTGAAATATTGATTGTATGTAAACATTGATATCAAATTATCCCAGGAAGCCAAGTGTAAGAGCATAGTAATAAAACAGGCATACATGTATTGAGGCTTAAATTTGAATCTTACGTTGTGCCGACCCCAACAAGGTCGGATAGAGGCAGTGCAAAGAAGAAATCCTATACGTATTTAATTGAGCCCATTTAGAATAAAGTTAAAAGGAGAAACAAACCTGTTGTTTAGGTGTTCAGCTTGTTAAAACAACAAATTAGTTGATTACGGGTCTATAATTGCAAAAAAAAAAAACCGAAACGAATTGCAATTGTCAACAACTGGTACCGGACGGATAGAGGCGTTATTTTCATAATAGCAGCACGCATGAATACGCGCCGGGCATTTGTGAATGTTTCCTGCTTCAGTCGAGTTCATCGCTTAATAGAGAGAGAAAACGACTGGCCAGTTTTTGCTTTTTATTATGTTTTTAAAAACGGAACAAATCAGATTGCCATTGTTAGTCACAACGCCTTGATCACTCATGAAAATCAAATCTGTTATACCCACACCATGTAAAAAAAAAATAATTAATATAATAGATGAACTTTTAAATAACATTTGAGTATTGTCTTTACAAACATTCTATATTTAACGTCTAATTCTAAATAGGTCATCACCGAATAGGAATAGGAAATAAACGCCCAGATGTGGAACAATTCTGGTGTAGCATAGAGATTATCTGATTTCAATGATTAGTTGAAAGAATGTTAAAGTTCATTATTATATCATTAAAACACTGACTCGGAACCACAAAATTAAAAAATATCACAAAATTTTAAATAATTTAGCGTTATATTAAATAGGAAGTATATTTTGACATAAGGCTTCTGCTTTTTGTTACATGACTCTTAACATTACAAAATAAGGTATCATTTTCTTTAGCCTTAATTTTCACATAGATCGTCTGTGCGATTCACCGCATAGTCCGACTATGGCCGAGACAAATTCGTAGGCAATCGTTAGCTGGCTTTCTCGGCACCGCGTCAAGTGTTGGGGTCGGGCGTGATATTGCGTAAATATGACGCCGTCGAAAGTGACAGAGCATTGTCTGCAGATGCGACATAATTTGTTATATCGAGTGTTATAACACGTACGTTCACTATTTAATGCGCGCTGGCTTAATGAGCTTTTTGTCCCGTCTCGATATCACTTAGAGCAAGCTAGCGTTCTGACTCGCTGGTTCGTCTGCGCCGTATGTTGTAATTGAATATTCGCGTTGATAGGGGAAATAGAAAAATATAGGGCTATTCATATATAGGTAAATTTTAAGGTTACCAAAATCTAATATATAAAATTCTCGTGTCACGGGGTTCGAACTTGAACTCCTCCGAAACGGCTCGACCGATTTTTACCAAATTTTATGTGCGTATTCAGTAGGCGTATTCAGTAGGTCTGAGAATCGGCCAACATCTATTTTTCATCACCCTAAATGTTAAGGATAGTCCACCCCTAAATTTTTTCTTTATTTTTTAGACAAAATTTTTTGTTTTTATTTTTTTATGACACAGCATACAAAAATACATACAACCCTAAATTTTCACCCCTCTACGCAGACGTAATCGCGGGCAGCAGCTAGTCTTGATATATTTTCGTGTGACGAAGTGGGAAACGAGCTGATGTTAAGTGAAAACCGCCACCCATGGAAATTTGCAACACCCTTAGGGTTGCAGATGCGTTGCCACCTTTTAATAAACATAATTGGACATACAAATAAGAAAGTAAGTAGCGTGTCTTAAGCTTTTCTACATCTATTCTGTTATTTGCAGTTTTGTGTGTGATTTATAATTTTTTGTAACATATTACATGCGGACAGGTGAACAGATCTATTTTGTGTATGTTATGTATTTAATGTATGAAGGAAAGCAAGAGCGGATTCGTGGGAAACTCAAGCAACAATGACCCATGCCTCGCGTTACCACCAACAGAATATCTAAAGCGAGAGTAGATCTTGTCAGTATACAGATTTAAAATTACATATATGGCATTCTTAAGGTAAAAATGTTCATCATGGTGGTTTTCGGGCGGTACTTTATTAAAACGTTATTCGCCAATGAAGAAATATAAAAAAGAATGAAATTAATATTGAGATTCAGTTTTATGTTTGTGTGTTGCACGTGTACCGAAAAGTGAATGACGATCACATAATGTTACTACCTGATAAATAACATACACGGCTAAAATTACTAGGTACTTTTAAAAAGTTTTAACTACTTTAATTTTTTAGGTTATAATTATATCATACTATACGGTACGATGATTAATCACGATACTGCGAAAACAATTCGCACATGTAATGCTTTTTATGTTATGTATTTTTTTATAGATACCTTTGCGAATAAGTTGGACAACTTTACGGCAATGAGGTAATGGGACTTATTATAATATATAAGTCAATAGTAGAAGCTAAAACTTAAGGGACAAAATGTGAATTTTGATCTCATATACGGAAATTTATATTTTACGTATCATCTTGAGTTCAGAGACTAGCACAAAATGAAATTAAACATAAACTAAGTGGCAAAGTTGATTTGTATTTATATAAAACACTTTTTGAAATTAGAATACGATCAATCCTTTCATATTGACAATGCACCGCATGTCCACATGCGTGACCTGGTTGGGTAGGGTCCATCAAGCTCTTTCAAATGTATCCCTTATGATCTACGGACTGTAAGCGCAAACAGATATCATGACAAACATCCAGTTTCGATGACGCACTAGCGACACTTAAAGTCTATGCACGCATAATGTAAGCACGTGCTTCATGCACAATTTCCAGATGGTTGCTAGCCAGCGCAAACGTCAGTAACATTAGACAGTCCACGGGACTGCAAGCAAAAACATAAAAATCTGCAAAAATATAAGAATCTACTATTTCAATAGATATAAAATTAGATTTCGTATTTATGTCCATTAAACTCAAAAACTAGCCTATTAAAATCATGTTTGTTGTATGGGAGCCCATATTTTTTTTATTGTTTTTAGTACTTGTTGTTATACCGGAACGGAAATACATAATCTGTGAAAATTTCAATTGTATATCATAACTATCACAGTTCATGAGATACATAATTCATGCCTGGTGACTGACGGAGCGACAGACAGAAAGACAGCGGAGTCGGAGGAGTAGTAATAGGGTCCCGTTTTACCCTTTGGGAAGGGAACCCTAAAAAGCCCCTGCGGAAGTGTTCAACTAGTAATCCCATAAAATATGAACGAAAACGTCGCGGAGATTACGAGGGATTAGTGTAGGTAGCGTATAAAGCTTCAATGGCCAAATACTGTGCTTCATTTTGTGAAAACAATGTGTTTTCTTTGAATTTGAATACAATGGAAGACGGTAATCTCTGACGGTGGTAGAAAATAGATAATCGTCTCGTAGTCGTGGGCAACGGCGTCGCTGATGCGAGGATCGCGACTTTCCAAGCGCCTAATCCACGGCGAATCGTGAAACGGAGTTTGAATGCGGGGCGTTAGCAGTAGATTGAAGCAGACTGGCTTTCGAGTTGTGAGTACTGCTTTATAGTGAATGAAAAAAATATACTCGTGTGACTACAGGTGTGCATAATACACGTCTTATTGTGTCAATACGAGAGCAGGATAAAGTTCATAAATATTTTTTATGTGAAAAGTTGGGAAACAATCAGACGGTCCACGTGTTAAGTGATTACTGCCGCCAAGGACATCTATATTACTTGAGGAGTTGCAGATGCGTTACCAACCTTTTACGCACACTCACAACGAGGCATCATGGACTTATAGCTCAGTGTCCGAGCGCTCGCCTTTAATTCGATATACTCGAGCAACCTGAGTTCGATCCAGGGTGCCGGCACCAATGAAATTGTTGATTTTAGGTGCTGAATTATCACACGCACTGTGGTGTAGGACAACATCATGGGGGAACCAGCATATTTTGGAAATAATAACAATAAATATATTTCGAAGGTATGTGCAGTCCGGCCCTAGCTAAGGCAGGACCTAGCTAAGGCCGCCGGAAAATATCGAGTTATAAACAGTCCTGGATAGATTTTTGTTCATGTAAATAGCAAACAGCGCAGCTAAGATTTTGACAAACAAAGATGTAGAGCAATGCTTTAAGTAAAATAATAACCTGCTATAATATAATATTCATTTGCAATAGCAATTATAAAATAAATAAGATGTATTCAACTATTTATCCACGAACAAAATAACTTGTTTCATAACATTATACAAAAAACTTTTGAAATATGTTACTTATATGGTGGATAACAAATCTTGTCTTCAATTTCGTTCAAATAATATCAAAAGTAACTGATTTTCTCCGCTGCGTAATACGTTCAAATGATTCGATGAATCTATAACAATGCAGAACCGATGACATGACGTTTCTGAGAGGAACGAAAAGAACCGAGACGCGGTTAGAAAGCTATAGTGATCATTACGTAAATTATCGAGAATCTTCAACTTCATCGAGAAACGGCAAAACGAAAGTGGAATAAATAAATTTGTTTTTACATATTTAAATATGATTTTCGACAGATGGATGTTTTTATTTAGAACGGCTAATGATCTAAGGAACTAAAACATATTTTAGACGAATCCTGGACGATAGCATTATTAGCACATCGATAAGAAAATTCGCTTCTTTTTAATATTCAACTGCGGCGATTGTTGATAATTAAAATTGTATATGTCAAAATTGGCTAACAAACGGATGATCACAGTAAAATCGAGAAAGAAATAGATAAAATTTAATGCAGTTAAACGAATCATTAACTGGTAAAACATATACATATATATAACATTCATATTTGTGATCATGAGAAGTTTTTTGACACAGCCATTTATATTTCTCACTCGTTGAATATGTATGAATTTTCGCTGTGACTTTTTGTGTCGTTCACATATTTACATCTGCATTGAACGCTCTGATTGCGTTGAGCGATGTCATCTAGCGTGCTGACGATTACATAATGAATGAACTGACGGAGTATCGCTACAGAACACAACACAAGAAATGACAGAGCGGAAATGTTGCTAATGAGATTCAGCGTTGAAATTTGATATTATTAAACTTTTAACGATTTTATGTAACATAGTTTATTTGTGACGTGTGGTTCCTTCACACGTGTAGATCTTTCGCGAAGTATTTTTGCTAGAAAGTTCGATGTTCTTTAAAATATTATCAGAGAATCGGACTGAAAGTAAATAAGAACGTTTTTGACTGGCGTCTGACCATTACAAATTGTTGAGGAGGTACTTGAGGAAGCAGAAGAATTAGTCCAAGTTGGATACTTTTTATCCAAAGATTTAAAAGGAGATATTGCTTCGAGAATGTTATGGATCTAAAGTACAGCCTGATAATTATTGCATAGCTTCAACCCATATGGCAAATGCTCCAACATCGAGTTGTCAAATAACACCACAGTGTCTACACTCTTACAGTGGACGCTGAACGCCTTAGATTGGAACCAGCAAGAAAAAAGCAGGGGAAGTGCCTGACAATGAGCATTTCTGTCAAAACTAAAAGCCATCGGGTAGACCTGGAACCAAATTAATCCCGAAGTTCATGACAGATCGAGATAGCAAACCTATTACTGTGGTCAGCCTGTGTCCCAAACATTATATATATTATAGTAATCCTTTTTCAAACTTTTTATTTTTCAACATGTTATTGCTGCTTACGTAAGTGCTGGTTGTTCTGCAGCAAAATTCAGAGATTTAAGTATAAGAGATACATAATCATAAAAAATAAACTTTTTGATGAAGTAGGTATTATTAAAAAATATTAATAAACTTTAACACTATGTTTACCACATATAACTACATCGCCATGCAAGTAATATACATTTTCTGTACTGATCAAAAAGAAAAATAGAAACTGTCGCAGTACAGTTTCGCGATGAATCTATTTACTTAAAAAGCGGAACAGAAAATCCTCTCCAGAAATAAATGGCGTGCTCAGCTACGGCATAAATCCGTTTACACGACCGACCAGGTTTGCTAGCCACTGCTTAGTTCACGATTATATATATAGATTACAAAAGACCATTTTCTGGATTGAAATTATACTATGGTAGGGCCACGCAGCAGACTCTGTGGGAGAGTTTCCTCAAAAGAAGCAGATACGACAAAGTGTCCCCCTTTGTGGTAAACTCGCAAACCTGTGTCTTTTAAATGTTATATTGGACTGGAATGATTAATTCTAGATCCCCAATCCAACATTTTACTTAACAAAACTTAGACTTGTACGAACGGGCAGTACCACGGCTTCGAAGACTGGCGCGAAGTGGGAGTACAATACTTTCAAGTCTGGTGTGGCCCACTTTTTGAAAACATTGGCAGGCAATCACTCAGGTGTTATAGAGGTCCAAGGGGCGGTAATCAATTAACATCAGGTGAACCACCTGTTCGAATGCCAACTTTTTACATAAAAACAAGAAAAATAAGAGTGAGCGATGAGCTCGCTCTAATTTTTCTTGTACGTAAGATGTTAAATCTGATAATGGACGTTGACAAACCAAATTTTTTTTAATGTATAATTATTAATTTAAGCGAAAATAGATAACTAAATTCCCCCAAACTTTATTAGAACATCGTTCAGAATAATGTAAACCAATACTAAAAAAAAAAAGATAATGATGATATCTCCAACTATTAGGTTTAATTTATGTGTATTTTCTTTCATATAACCGACAATGTTAGATACTAAAATGGACGAACACATATTTTACCGAAGAAAACTATAAAGAAATATATGTAGCAAGTTATTGTACATATATGTAAACAATAATAATGTAATTGTCCAATAACTTTGAACGGCAATGAGAGAGCGTATAGATATTTATCCGTCGCATTCCATGAAGGAGACGGCGCGACGCGTCTTCGCATAGCGTTTCACATGACATGCATCGTATGAACATTGATCAATGCATTTGGTTTGCTCATACTAATGCGGATTGTTTACGATTGTAAAAGAAAACAAAATGGTGCGTAAGAAAAAAACATCAAAACAATATTATATCGGGGCGTGATTCCACAACAAGACTATGATAAAATAATTTAATTTATTTCCAAAGAACTCCAGGGAAGCCAGAAATTAATTTATAAAATTTATCTAAGTGAAATCTTAGCTTCATATTGTTACAATTTGATTAACCTGTGCTTAGGAAGGCGCCGTCACCGAGTTATTACGATCAGGACTATTCCTTATGGATATCTAGATATTATTATAAATTTTAACGAGCTCGCAAACCTATATATAAACGATATTAAAACAATAAGTCCCTTGTTTCAGACACAAAACATGTTTATCTTTTTTTTTTTCCAATTCACTATTATTCCCTTTGAAAGGAGTGGAGCGAATGTTTAGCTTTTTCTATTTCTATTGTTTATTTCATTGAGCGTGAGGCACAGGGCGCGATCCCGTGCAGCCAACAGCCATCGCCAGCGCTTCGCCATTCGTACGTATCGGACTGTCGTGAGCTAACGTGTGAATGTCACTTTCGCGTTTAAAAAAGAGCGGAGGGAAATTCGCGCGGGAAATTATGCATTTTTGTCTTTAATAAATATTCAATCACACACAATCGTCGCTTATGACAAGCGACAGTGAGGAGAGTTTAGTTTGAATATAAACAGTGATAATGTGAAAACTAAACGAATTAATCGAATACGAACAAATCGACATTCGAAAAATAGCGACCGGGCCGAATACGGAACGTATGAGGACTTTATTGAATTGATTCTTTCACTTCCTTTTCTGTCTTTTGTTTCTACGTTTTTTCATGCTTTGTGTGTTCATGCCATCGTGTTAATTAAGACGATTGTTTTAAAGCACGTACTGAAGACATTGCGTTTGATTTGAGTGTAACGAATTTGTTTTGAGTGGAGTTGGTGAAGACTAGATCTGCTTAGGACTGGTTTCTCTTAATATAATATGGGTGTATATTGGAAGGGCATCATGCCGCTTTTAAGTACATTGGCAGCTTTGGTGATCATTGTACATTCGACCGAGGAAGACTATGAAGAATACCGAAGAGAATTACGACCTAGGACTATTGACACGGGCACAACTGATTATGAATTGGTAATATGCTTTTTATCATCAATAAAAATAACAATATTGATATAATAAATAAAATGAGAGAAACAAAAAAATGTGAAACGTGGCTCTAGTAGATCGATATTTTTTTTTAATTTTAAAAAGTTATTAAGTGTGGCATTGACTGATTAGTTACGATTCTGATGTCCTTTGGAGAACAGTAATAAAATCATTTAATTTTATCAAAGTTTTTGTTAAATTTAAACACATAAAAATAATGTAGTAAACACGAACTTAAAAACATTATATTTATTTGTGCCTAGCAGTAATTTCTCAATTGTCGAGCGGTTTATAATTTCTTTACTCGAGGCTAGTTTGCCGAGGGTGATAGCGATAGATAAGTATACATATATTATATATTCTCTAAACTAGTTTTCTAGAAATCTAGGTGTGTCTCTCTCTGGAGTCTTAAATAGAGCATGCTCGTTCTATCAATTGGATTCAGTTTCTGGTATATAATGTTACATTAACTATATTTTGAATGAAAATATATTATTTTTTTTACTTTAAGTGAGAAACATCAGCTTTCAGGGTAGTTTTAAAGCTTCATCGAATATGTACTTTATTGTCAGAATAAGACGACGCATTTCATGTTATTTTGACAATTACAACGTTCGTCAAAACGAATTGTGCAAGGGGTTGCGTGGATCGTTGCGTGCATCTAATTTAGTAGTAGATTTGGACCCTACACGAGAAAAGAATTCATTTGATCCAAAAATACTGGGCTTAGCCTGGGTGTTCCTTGCTATTAATCTATAGTTGCGCGAGTTGTTTCAAATACAAAACAGCCTTCATACGCGTGTAGCTAGAGCCTAACGTCTACAATGCTGAAAGAAAGTGTCTCTACGTTTTTTCATCGAATTGTATCGCTATATAAAAGCCTCCTAGTAATTTGTGTGACATGACCGATAGTACTGACTCCTAGAGATTTCCTCAACCTGCCATATTATAGGGGTTAAAAAATCGAAAATCGAAAACAGTTTGATCTAGAATTATAAAACCGTTTGTTCACTAAACCTAAAAAGCTGTTTGGTGTATAGGTTTAATTCATCATTTAAGCATCCGCCCTGAATTTTGGCAATTTTAACTCTAAGTGGGAAATGGAAGGGGGGAAACTTTGTATGACTCCACATTTTTTTTAATTATTAACATGACACTTTGAATGAAATCTACTGTGCATAAATCATAAATAAATAAGATCAAGATTGAGGGGTTTTTCAATTTAATTTGGACATTTTTTGAATTATATCCTATGTAACTGCTTAAATATTGTTATGGTACAAGTTTTAACAATATATCTTAATGAGATAATAATATATCAATTAATCTATTATCAACTAGAAATGGAAGGACGCAAGGTGAAATGTGAAAAAGTTCGAATTAAAATTCTCACGGAGTAAACATATAAAAAATAGTTAAGTACAAAACGTTACCTTAGTATTTTTTCTTATGTAATAAAGTATTCATAGCAGTAATAACATGGCAGATACAAACAAGTTATTAGTAAGGTTTGCAATTGTAATGAGACTGATTTCTTGTACATTTCGATTGATTGCAAAATGCTGAATAAACGTTTTCGTCCGAAAATTTCATAAACGCGTATGCAACAATAACAAATAGCGGGTAAAAAAGAGCTGTTTACGAAGCGTTGCACATATCTCTCTAAGCTTGCTACGCCTTTTCCGATTCGTAGAATCAGTAACTGAACAACTTCAAAGCCTGTTTAAAGTCATAGGAAAAACAGGACAAATTCTATTCATCTAGAAATTACACATATACATATCATATGTTTCCACTGCGAAGTCAAAGACAACGACAATAGTGAGTGGTTTTTTCGTTTTCCCTTTGTGACATGTAATGATAAAACGTATTTTCTACAACAGATTCATTAGTTGATATTCATTTATCAGCACAACAAAAATAAAAGGCACATTTTCGGCGGGTTTTAATATTCTATCTACAGATAGATTTGATTACTAGCGATAGTTACCTATTTGACATTAACTCCATACATATTATTTACGTCAAAATTCTATGTCCAGTAACCAAATCTATCTGTAGATTGAATATTGAAACCATTTTATAATTTATGTACACAGAGAATTATGACAGACAGACCTGTGACTCGAAATTGGTTACAATGGTAGTTATATTTATATGTATTGTACGACTGGTACTAATGGCGGGCAATTAGTCAGGTTGCACCACAGACAAAACGCATGAAATATTCACCAAATTTTGTATATCAATTATGTTATTTAAAACTTCTCTAACCATTAAAATAAAATTGCGTACGATTTTGTATATTTTCGGATAAACGTTGACTTACTATTACTTCGAAATGATTTAAATAATAACCATTGGATAATATTTAAAATTGTATTAGCATACATCACCAGCACAATTTCAAGCGGAGAACCGGTTGGAACACTTTCAACTTTCTTCGAACATTATGACATCGATTTTGTAACAGCTTTCTTCGTTAACGATGAGATAACTTAATCATATACACGTTAATCGTTTGTCAATAATTGAAAAAAGTGTTAACGATATCAGATATATTTGAATGATAGATATATTTTACATTGTAAAATACTATAGCTTCTTTTCATAACTTAGATAATGTTGAATAATTTATTTAAATAACTATATTCTCATATTAATATCATATTAAAAAAGTTGGATCGATTTTACAAAAGTAACTGAAATAAACAAACTAAAATGAAACAGTGTTTTTAATAGGCATTTTAAGAATATAGCTCTTAAAATGCCTATTAAAAACACAGAATATAAAATGCCTATTAGAAACAGTGTTTTTAATAGGCATTTTAAGAATATAGCTCTTAAAATGCCTATTAAAAACACTGTTTCAGCGTTTTCAATAAGCATTTTACGAAATCAATACATGAGTCGCACAATTATATGAACGAATCGTTAAATACTGTATAATATGTTATTCATGCATATTTTTCTTTGTGTTAAAATGGATTTGATCAAAAACCAAAATAATCTTCTGCAAAGTTTTGGACACATTTTCATAGAAAAATAAACTAAACGACCAATCCACACAGTACTTTTAACGACGCACGAACAAAGAAACGCAAAAAGTTTAAACATGGCGTAAGCCAAGACGCACACAATTGTATGCAAGTTTTTTTATACGTGGACGTATAGATGTTCACGTTGCTAAATTTGTAATTGTAAATTTCCCAGCAAATATATAATTTTGATACGAGTCTTTTTTAAAATAGCCATAGAGAATAATCAAAAATTTTTGTGAAATGCAATTAAAAATAATTAAATGAAAGTATGGTAATTTTCACTTATTAATACTTGTACTTCTACTAATACTTTATTTTATTAACAATTAAAATTTTTATTAACTTTTCAGCCATGGAGAGCTGTAAAGATAGAACCGATGATGACACAATCAACACAATCGGACACGTGGGATGGTTCCCCACAGAATCCACCAAAACGTCGCAGTCCTTTGCGAAAACGCAGGCGTCGACCACAATCGCATCCCGCTGAAAGTTCTTTGGAACAACGAGAATATCGACCCTACAATGAAGGCTACAGACCTCTTACAGAGATGCCACAACGCCGTCGTAAAAAGATCATGCCAAATCAGAAAGGGAATAATGAACCAATAGAAAAAGGAAGGCCGTTACGAAGAAAAGGGTTAAGGAGAAAGGTACCAGATCTGGAGCCGTGGCATGAATTGAGTGAATTCAGTGATATCCCCTCCGATGAAAACCTTGATATGGTCGAAGGAAATCAAAAACAAGAAATTGTGAACTACGAACCCGAGTTTGAAAATAATGATAGCCATGAACCACGCCTAAGCTTAAGTCAACTTTACAAAGAAGAACAGAACCGTAATCCCGAGGCAACGGGAGACGCAACCGAAGAAGACAATGAAGACGATCCATCCCAGTTTGCAGTTAATAAAGAAAACGAGTATGAAGAGCAAATTATACCTCAAATAAAGGAAGACAAATCGCTATCAGAGTTTTCGTTAGAAAGTGGTAATCCCGCACAAATCACGAAAAATAAAAATGGACAAGGAACACATTTTAAAGAAAATCTGAATGATGTTAAAGAACAAGTAAGTACGAAAACAATTTGATGAAATAAAATAGCTAATATGATCTAAATTATATTAAAGGAAGAAATAAAAACAGCAACATCTTAAATAATTTTACTAAATTTCAAACCTGGGTCACATGTGTTATGTACAACATTTAATAGCTTTTATTTTTCCAATCTCTTACCAGTCCAAAGTTGTGAGAACGTGCTAATTTTGATTTAAAAGAAGTAAGTAAGTTGCGATGCGATTTGCGATGACTGTGGCGCAGTTGTCAAGGTATATAGGCTTCGGCATCGGGGGTCGTGGGTTCCCACACGGGACAACTATTTGTGCGACCCACACAGTTGTTTCGCATATGGGTTTTTGTCCACGTGAAATTTATGTTTGTAAAACGTCCTTACAACACAGAATAGTGTTATCCTAAAGTAAGGGGTTGTGAGTAACTGTATAAGACCTAGTTGGTCTTGAACTCAAAGTAAACTTTCACTTCTGCTTTTACTAAAGTTTCAAATGAGCGTATCGAGTTGAGATTGAGTATTGGTATTCTATATTATTAATAATGTATTTTCATTAAAATCTAAAACTTTAAAGATGACATTAGCCCCTAAGGTAATGCTTTTAGCCTTCTCGGAACTATTAAGCTTTTGGTATCAACCTCTTAAATTATTTCACGTAAACCCTTTCCTTATTCAATTTTTAGGAATGTCTTCATCACCTTATTTTGAAGAAAACTTTACATAAAATGCACATACCGCTAGGACGTACAATTTAAAATAATTTGATGTTTTATTTCGAAAAAATCTTGAAGATTTAATTACGGTATATCTATTAATGGTATCATTTTTGTTATCTTAATAATTATTTGCTAAAAATATTTCTGTGCCTAACTTTTTGATGTCAATAAGCATCTTTGAAATGTTCTAATAGTTATCCTAGTCACCAATTACAAATTAATAATTTATTAACGAGATAAAAACTTGTAATGTTTTTGAAATTCATTGATTTTTGTTATTATTGTATTCTTTATACATTTTTTTCTCAAGTTTAAATTTTATGTGTATTATGTTATGTTAACTTATATTTTCAATAACTTTAATTTATAGTATATTACGTTTATTCTTGCAGAAACCGCTCGATCCAATATCTTTGAAGGAAATATTAAAGAAGTCGAATGGAAAAAGTTTAAGTGAATTATTACAGCAGCATAATTTAACGTTGGCGGATCTATTGAATGGCCAAAAAGAAGTTTTATCAGTTTTTAAATCAACAGATATATTAGAAAATAATAAGGAATTGATAGGGGTGCAAAACGCTACAACCCAGATTTCAATTATAGAAGCACGCGAAACTTTGACAAGTATTAAACCTAACACGTTTGAAAGAGTTATGGAAGAATTAAACGACGATAATAATAAATTTTATGAAATAACTTCTTCGGACTCATCATCTTCAACAACAAATAGTTATTTTATTAAAGAGTCCGTAGACTCGACCGTCGTTGCACCAAAATCTAGTCTTAGTGCTATTGATAAGTATAATCTCAATACAGATGCCAGTTCTACCATTAATCAATCAGATAAAATGAAAGTGAATGAAACAAATACAAGTTTCCTTCGCCGACGATTGCCAACAGGTGTTAGAACGAAATTACGAATGAGACCTTTGGTTAACAACTCTTACAAAGGACAACTCAGCAGAGACTTGATAGCTTTGAATACCAAGAGATATCAAAATAATAGAAACTTGACGAAATTAAAAGAATGGAAGGATTTTATTCCAGCCATAATGAATAAAATGCGAATTAAAGACGCAAATGATGAAAAGATGGATATTGGTGAAGAAATAGACAATATACCAACTACTAAAATACCAGAGGAAACAACTACAACGCAGGTTATACTTCAAACGAATGTCAACACAGAAAGCGAAAGCGAAACACAAACAGAAATAAAAAATACAAATCCAATTCCTACTACAACAATTTCGTCCACTGAAACAACAACTGAAATGGAAGCTACTACAACCTTAAAACCTATAATTTCTACAAAACTTTCACAAAGATTGAACATGACCAGTTTAAGACAGCAAGCCTTTGCCAACAGATTAAGAAGGAAAAAACTAAAACAGAAATTGTCAATAAATGATACTTCGCAAGACCACACATTGAAAGATATCTTTGGCATGGCTAATTTGGTATCGGCATCTGAATTTATTGCGAAAATACACCCAAAACCAACTACATTAAGTGATGAAACAGAAAGAGTGACTATGTTAGAAGACTTCATGACAACCGAGACATCAACAATAGCCGTAACTCAGAGGTCTACAAAACGATCTAGAACAAGAGAAAAACCAAAATCATCCACAACAATGGTACCAACACTACAAGCAATGACTACTGAGACGGCAAAGATAGAAATAGAAGAAATTCTCAATGATACTTTAGGTAAGTGTGTTGCTTTTATCATTTCAGATGTTAAATCACCATCATACAATGTAAATCCTGACGTATAAGTACCTATTAAGTATCACCTAGTAAGTACCTATTGGTCGTAAAAGTGAATATTACTTTAATATTAAACTGTTATTTTAATCTATTAAGACATATATCGGGATGTGCAGCATTTATTGCTGAGCGGTAGTATTTATTACACATATCATCCCTATGAATATATCATACTTTTAACCCTCGTAGAACTCCATAGTAGCTTCTGATATTGTATAAATGTATGGGAAGAACCATGACCTCACAGAAAGCCGCCATAAATGGAAAGTACTTTTGCTTTTGTATAGGTTTGGCGAGTAAGTCAATTGAACCCACTTTTTAAGATTAAATAAACAAATGAAAATATGTCAATGTGCAATGATAATCACTTATTATCAGGCTTGCACGCTCGTCACCTTCTCAAGTAAAAAGGTTTATGAATCAGATTAAGAATATACAAGACAATAGAGTAATCATAAAATAATGAAGAAATAAGCATGTTTAATTATATTTTGCGCTAATTTGTAATTATAGTTTTTAATTATGTTTTTATTTGAGAAATCATTTGTTATTTAATTTGTTTTAAATCTATCAGTGTCTATTTTATTTAACTGATTTCAGCTAGTGTCCGATTATCAAAAATATTGATGGAAAGAAATATGACATTTAATGAATTAGTGGAACATAGAGAGCGCGGCTCGAGTCATGTACATCTGGCAGATATATTCCACAACGCGTCGAAGGAGCCAAATCCACCGGAACCGTTCCTTTCCAAATCCCTTATTGAGCCAATATCGAAGGAAACATATCCTTTAAGAGCGCTCCTGGAAGCAAATTCACACAATTCTACAATAAAGCCTACAACAGTTGAACCGTATTTATTATCACCTCACTATATTAATATACCAATAACAATGGATTTTGGTAACAACGTTAATGAAAACGGTGAAAACACTGGTATTACAGCATTATTCAATAACTTCACAAAAACTGTTGAGAAAATTAATAACAATGAAGCTGATAATACTAACAAGAATATGGAAGAACCTGACATCAATTTAGCTAACGCAACATCTCGACAAGGCCGCGTGATAGGCAACGAACAAGATTTAGTTACGCTAAATGAAATATTTTCTCTTATGCAAAAAAGTCAGAACCTTACCGACGAGTCACTAGCAATTACAAATGGTATGTCAATATTAAAGAGAAGTATATTTTCTTTACTAATATTTATCGTGAAAGATTTATATTTACAATACGATTTTAGAAATACTGTCTGTATCAGGTAGTTGCAGTTTTTTTTCTTATGTGAAAAGTCGCCAAACGAGTAGTCGGTTCACGCGATGTTAAGCAAATACCGCCGCCCATGGACATCTGCTACACCCGAGGGTTACAGATGGGTTGACCTCTTGAAAATTGAGCTCCGGCCATTTCACTCATCAGACGGAACGCGAAAGTAGTATACTTCCATTTTACGCCGGTCTTCTATGAGGTCTTGGTACTTATCCGGACGAGCCTGCCCATTCGTGCAACAGCCGAGGCTGCCTAGGGCCACCACCGTAAATTTGTCACAAGTCTGTTAACATACTTTCATTTTGGCGCGCTATTTAAGCGTTTAGTATCGCTAGTTTTCTTTAAAATAATTTTTATACACCCGTCCGAGTCGGTATTTAATTAATGTCTAAAAAAATCCTTAACTACACACATTGATGTCATCCTAATAAACATAATGTTTGAGATAAAGTCAAATTCAATTCTGTTTCATTTGTTTAGATAATATTAACATTGATTAATATATATATATATAAATATAATTATTGAGTAATATATCTTGCTCTGCACTTGCAAGACCCCTGGCTGCTGCTGATTTTATACCTAAATAAGAGTGTATAATTGCATAAAAAAAAATATATATATATAACAAAAAGAACAAGACCGCAGAGTTTCTTGCCGGTTCTTCCGGTTCTTCTCTGTGCAGGTCTAGTTTAGTGAACCGGTGGTATATTTTTTGTTGACGTTCAATAAGAGCTTAAGTTAGGCCTATATTGAATAAATATACTTTGACTTTGACTATATATATATATTTAACTAGCTGCTGCCCGCGACTACGTCTGCGTAGAATAGGCTGTAGGCGTAACATTCAGACAGAAAGACAGATATACATAAAATATGTATATAAATTATAGCCTATGTCTTATTCTGATGTATAAGCTATATTATTGTAGTTTCATTAAAATCCATTCAGTAGCATTTGCGTGAAAGAGTAACAAACATCCATCCATACATACAAACTTTATACTATTAGTAAGGATTATAAAAAATATTGATCAGCCCACTTGTAAATGTATTTATTCTTCCCTAATAAAATTTTATGTTTCAGAAATAGGGTCAGAGGAAAAATCAGTCACAGATACTGCTTTAGAAGATATAGATGGAGATGGTCTTATAGCTTTGGAAGATTTGCAACACATTAAACATTTTAAACAAAACACAGATTTTATTAGTGGAAATGTAGAACATGACATACTGGAGAGTCTAAAAGTGACACCAACAATCAGCATCCCAGAAATAATACATAACAACACAAGATCTATAACTGTAGTAACTGCAAGTATAGTGGGTCTTATTGCAGTTTTGTTTCTATTGACATATGCTGCATTTAAATGGAAAAATCAGCAGCAAGTTTATCAGAGGAAACAATGTATTGCTGAAGAGATAATTCCTACACCGGTGTTCGAAAATCGTAAGAGCAATAAAAATAGCAGTATGCGAAGTATGAGTCCAATGCTGTCTTCAAATATTTATTCAGTTAACACTTTAGAAAAACCCAAAAATAATAATTGTCCTGAATACATGTGGGATTGCACAAGAAATCCATTTCAATAGTAGTAATGGTTAGTTTTTTTAAATTATTTAAGTATTTAAATAGTGACCTGATTTTGATTTAAGTTTTGATTGATCTTATTTGATGTTTCTACTTAAAAAAATAATAGTTGTTATGAAAGAACTGATAATTATTTGAAACAATGAAAATGGAGTGGAAACATGGATTTTACATATAACTTTTCAAGGCTGTTCTTGTAAATTTTTTCATACTAGTTTTTTTAATAACTTGCCTATGTTATTTAACCAAATTTTTGATGTTAAAGAGACCTTAAGAGAACTTATTTATATTGAATAAAATTCAGTATTTGCAGTGTTTCTTTCCTTACCTGTAGTTGTTGAAAGTAAATATCTCTTGTAAATTTTTCAGTGCAGGTATATCCATATTGTGAATTTTATTATAAAAATAAGCATACTGTCGTGCTATACTGCGGTAAAGTTTTAATGAAGAATCAAAAACCGGTGATGGCTGAAACAGGAATAAGGATTTAGTCAACATTTTTAGGAAATTATTTAAAAACTAGTTGACCAATGTGTAATTTTCGTTCAGTACCGAGATCAGTCACTAAAGAGTAATATAACAATGTGTAATAAGTATTTAGGAATGAAAGGTGTCTTTTTATGAAAGATAATGTTTTTTTGGGTGTCGCTATCTTTCATTTAATCAAACTGTCAATAGATGTCATTGTCTTGCATTCTTTATACAAAAGATTATATTTATGAAAATGTTAACTTTATTCTGCTGGTCTATTTTTGTCAGTAGCAGCAAAAATAGGCTTTAGAATGATGTAACAAAACATAACATTTGTTGAAGAATTATGGAAGTGATGGTATTACAACAAAAATTATTGTATTTATATAAATAATGATATTTAGTTGGCATGGACACATTTATATAATAACTACTTTAGTATATGCTAATTAGAGCATAAAATACTAAAAAAATAGTAAAAGCTATAATGATATATTTTTTTTGTAACTTAATAATAGTAAAATTTAATGATATCCTTTTAGATGATTGTAACAGAATATCCTACCTGTTTCATATATTTTATTAATATTTCAATATAACTAATGTTCATCAATAATTGCTATAAATTTTATTATGAAACAGAGATATCAAACCTTAAGCACAGCTAATTCCTCTCGTGTAAAATACAAAACAGTTGTATATTTATCTGGGAGAATATCAATATAAGGTTTCCAAAAGGAATCTGAAAAGGATATATGGACATATTCAAATTAGCCATTTAATGTTTGCCACAACAAATCTTCTCCCAAGAAATATAAAATATTTCATGTATATACAAAGTTAAACTTTAATTCATTCATATGTACTCATAAATTTCTCAAAGTAAAGAAGATGTAATCTTAAGTACACTTACCTTCTTTATTTTTTTCTAAAAGTAAAAACAGAGCCAATGTAATATTAGGCATATTTTTTAAAATGGGATCAACATTGATAAAAGCACCCAATTCTGAGTCCAGAGCATCCTTTTCGCTCATCATAACTTTACTTGGAACAGTGAGAAGTAAGGAATCTTCAGAGAAATCTCGCTGTGCTTTTAAGCCAAGTTCATAGCCTTCAAAATCACTTATTTCAATTCCTGAATAAAAACAAAGTTATTAAATATATTGATGTATATACCCACATTTTCAAACTCCACTATAAAACAAACAGTGAAACATTTAAATGAAGAGTTTATATTTTAATTTTTTAGAACACTATTTCAGAATGTATGACAAATAATAAAGATTATTTTAATACATAAAGAATATCAAATGCTACATACAAAAAGGAAAATAATCATGGTAATTCAAAAAGATAATGAATACAACCTTGACCTGTTCAAGTAACAATCATCATGTTCATTGATTTAGGTCTATGGCTATTAATGTTTTAGCATAAATTATGTTGAGTTTGAAGTTATTCAAATATTTACCTTCAAATTTTGCTCCATTTTCTTGTAACCAATTCAAATATCTTTCCAAGTTTTCACGACGATTACCCTTAGTATCTTTGCTAATCATGGAAATTTCAATGTTTATTATTTCATTGATAATGCAATCGATTTCTAAATGATGATTCCATATTTTTTGTGTGTTAAAAGGAGCTTGGATCACACTAGTCAGTTTCAGTACCTTTTCTATCAGACCAGCGAGTTCTTTTCGCTTTTGTTGTACATACTTATTTGTCTCTTTTCCTGCATTTCGTTTTTTAGAAATATTCTTAGCTTGTAATTTACGTCCCATGGCCTCTTTCTTCCTGCACTTAAATCGTCTACAATATTAAATTATAAAGAAGAATTGTATAATAAGTAATAAATTAATAGAAAACGTGGAAATGGGAATATAACGCCTAAAATAGTAGGCTAAAAAGTGTTTTGAATTTAAACGTGTAATCTGACACTGACGTGACATATCTCAACTTTGACGTTTTACACTCGATGTTAACTGTTCAATATTATTATTATTTGACTCACTCTCTTTCTTCCAAGAGTTCCAAGCTATATAATATTTCATATGGTGGTGGTAGGCATGGCAAAAATATCGGTATCTTTCCTTACAATTATCGATATAGATCGTCGATATTTTTTATCACGATAAAAAATACAACAATAAGCCGGTACACGACGATGATGAATCCTGCATCTGCGCGGCCTTCTAGACAAGAATTTGGAGAATGGAATAAATGGAAGGGGCGGCGCTGACACGATACAAGGGACCCTTTGTCTTGAAACGAAAATAAACCGCATTTTACTCATCAACGAATAATTCTTCGTAAATCATTAATTCTTCGTCGGGATAGTAGTAGTAATAATAGAAATTTAAAGTGCTAATTGCTGCACTTAAGATTAAACATTACATTATTGTGGAAAAATGGAATGAAAAGTTTCTCGCCCCTGTGCTAATCGAAACCACGTCTTCGGGTTTCACGCTCTGATACTCTAGCCACTAAGCTAAACGGCTGATCACTCTCAACGCACTTTATATACATTGTTTTTTAGCATTTGAAGCAATGCTTGGCGCATTCATTGTTATGTCCTTTCCAGCATACAAACAATTTCGTATATCGTTTTACAATTCAAGAGAGAGATGTCGCCATTGTTTTTTTAGAAATTTCAAATTTTTATAGTGCTAGTCTCTGCACTTAAGATTACACATTATCATTTTGTAAAACATCAAAATTTCGATTCCCACAGCGGCGAGAGATTTTATGTTACTTTTTTCTACAAAAAATTTAAAGTAGTAATAATAGTTCCTACGATCCGATGGGATACGGAGAACCGCATGTCTAGTATCTTTAGATACCGAAGGCTTGAACCTATAGAGTTGTATGTGCATGTATTTTAACGAAGTGCTCGCTTCTTAAAATGAAATGTACAGGGTAGTAGTTTTAAAGTCACAATGCAATTCGGCCTTCCACATATACCATGGGGCGCTTCACTCGACGAAGATTTTTGTTATACTATATTATGGGACGTATACAAATAAAATAAAATAATAGGCTTTATTGCTACTGCCAATTTAAACGTTTTATGATTTTTTATGACCAAGCAGTAGTCGCTTCCCAGATTAGTCGATCACGTGCCTTTCGCATCCACAGGGGTCCACATCTAAGGTTGAAGATGTCTCCCCACCTTTTACTTGGTCTTCCTTTTTTCCTTCTCATATCTCTTGGAATCCATTGCGTTAGGCGTTTTGCCCATCTGTTATTGCTCATCCTACAGAAGTCTGTAGGATGAGCAATAACAGATGTAGAATGTCTGTGGGACAAATGTCCTGCCCAATGCCATTTTAGTAATCTTATTCTTTTCTTTACATCTATAATTTTTTTTTCTGATTTTGATATCGCTGACCTTCGTTTCCCAATCTAGATGTCTTAAAATAGATTCTAGCACTGATGTGAACAATTTCGGGGAGAAGGGATCACCATGCCTTACCCCTTTTTGTTTGGGGAACTCTGTACCTTCACGTTCCAGACGCACTTTGGCAACACATTTTGTATATATATTCATGATCAGGTTGATATATTTCTGGTTGACACCTTTTTGCCAGTGATGTCCATATAGATTCGAAATGTAGTGAGAGTGTATGTGATCTATAGTCGAGTAGCTTTTCCGACTATAGATCACATACAAACTGTAACAAAAAAAATAGAAAAAGCGAAAGAGTATGGAAAGACGCCATATCTGTGTTTTATAGATTACACGAAAGCATTTGACGTATTGTCATTGGGACGTATACAACCTTTATTTAAATGAACTTTGCGTCTTTGTTCCACTTTACTGGACACACGGACACAGGGGAGCAGCGGAAATATTACTTTCTTACAATATTAATGTACTGTAAAAATTTGCTAACCTTGCTTTTCAATGGATTGTTTTGGGTAAAAGTCGTAGGAACTATGGAAAGAATGAAAACTTGTATTTTGAATTTTTAAATTATTTGTAGTTTGGGGGTAAAAGCGTAAACCTATTTCCTTTTAATGTTAAATTGCACTACAATGATTAATTCTAGATCCATAACCCAAGATTTTGCTTAACAAGACATCGACTTCAGATAAAAGTTTATTTATTAGTCTTAACTTCCTTCGCCCATCCATGATTTAGTTAGACTAAAAGATTCCTGAGCGATCCCGACGAAAAACATGCTGACGATCGCTATTAGCTATTGCTCCTCAAGGTACCTAAGGAACTGAAAGTTAATGGAGTCGATTTTAGACATCAAAGAGGTGAGATCGGTTGGCCTATAATTGGACGGATTCAAGCATCAAAAATTTTAATGATTGGGTGTACTAAAACCGTCTTTCAAGAATTTGAGACAGTACCTAAGCCGTAAAAATGTTGAAAAAAGCGCGTTGCACCGGTGCTAACTCAAGACCACACGTCCTTAATGAAGTCGGCGGGATCTCTTCGGAGCCGCTGGACTTTTAGATGTATAAGGAGAGAAGCGCTTTATGCATTCCACGCTCCAGAAATGTAAGTTCTAGCGTTGTGTGCTCATATAACGTTCTCCTTATTATCTGTTGTCGAGTTAAAAGTGAAAATCGCGCCCAAAAGTTCGGCCTATTCTTTTGCGGTGTGTACCAATGAGCACTTGAACCTCGGTGAAAGACCTGATGGCTCTTTTGAAGGACCTAGAATTAATAATATACTCCTTTTTAAAGTAACTGGTATTTACATGACATCACCCCAACACTCTAGGTCAAACGACTCATGCCTCGAGCAAGATGCCGGAGCGACTGGATCAGGGCTTTGATTTATCTCAACTTACCTACTTGCCAAGTATACGAAATACTGATAGCCAGTGGCGGATGTGCCATAAGGCCCACTAGGCCCGGGTCTAGGGCGGCTAGTCGTGAAAACATTTACTTATGATATGGAGAGATAACTCAAAGAATTTAAATATTACATAGTATTACATAATTATATCAAGAAGTGGGAAAAGTTTACGTTCAACATTTTTCAGAATCGTTGAGAGTCATATTACATCAATGGGGGAACACAAAAACCAAGAGAGACTGCTAGAAGCTATCTGATAGCCTTAATGAAAAAGGGTGTTCAATATATCACGGGAGTGTGTGGAATTATTACCTTTCGAATTCAGATGTAGATGGATGAAATTTTAGATTAGTCGATAGAAGCAAGCTCAAAATCGTGTAAAATTTATTCTTAAAATTGTTTATTTTATATTTATGTATTTTTTTAAATAATAAATAAATAAATAAAATTGCAGTGCGCGCACGAACAATTTGTAGTATTTTTCTGTAATCTGAAACTATAATTGTAATAGAGCCACGCAACAGTCTTCGCTGTAACTCGAATGGGCAGGTCCGTTCGGGTAAGTACCACGACCTCACAGAAGACCGGCGTAAAGTGGAAGTGTTATACTTCTGCGTTTCGTTTGGTGATTGTGTTAGCCGGAGACCACTTTATTAAACAAGTAAGAAAGAAAGCCACCCATGAGACGTAAGCAACATCAGGCAGACAGTCTATATGCCTTTTTTTTTTTTTTTTTTTTTATGTTAAAAGCCGGTTCACCTGATGGTAAGTGAATACCACCGCCCATGGACATCTGCTACACCCGAGGGTTACAGATGCGTTGACAACCTTTAGAAAATTGGGCTCCGGCTACCTCACTCACCAGACGAAACGCGAAAGTACTTCCACTTTACGCTGGTCTTCTGTGAGGTCGTGGTACTTACCCGGACGGGCCTGCCCATTCGTGCAAGAGCCGAGGCTGCTGCGTGGCCCTACCACCGTTAAAATTCCTACACCAGCTCATTACCTATGCAGTTGAAATTGCTGTGTGGCTCTGTTAGAGTAGCCTAGAATAATTCTATATAAATGTTGATGGACCTATTGCACAGGCCCTTAAGTCATGATAGAGTTCTTCACGTACATACTTTGATAGAAAACTACGTATGGGTATTAGAAGATGTATAAAGAAGAGTTGATTGGATACTAAAGGGGTTTTGTTTTCAAAAGTTTATAATCTGAAAAAGGATATGAGCAAGTGACCTATGCTGCTATTTGGAAACATGACTGCTATCCGTCATTGATAATTACTCTCTCATATTTTTTATTTATTGTTATTGTTAGCGCTTATTGTTAGCGGTCATAAGTCCAATAAAAAGCCGGTTAACGACGCGTTTTGGAAGGAAATAAAACGGGCGCGGCGAACCTAACACTCCACGAGTCTTCCAAGGCGATTCTTATTACTTCTAGTCAACGAATTACAGAGTTTATGGTGGACAATGACATGGTCCAACTCCCAAACAGGGATAATACGTAGCAGACAATTCCCCTACTCATTTTGGAGTCTCGCGAATATCAGCGATATTTGTGACCAATGAATTTCTATGTGAGAAGTTGTCAAGCGACCAGGTGGATCACCTGATGTTGAATTAAGTGAATACCGTCGCCCATAAACTTTTTCAAAACCTGAGGGCTTTTAAGAGGTGCGGACTACTTTTAATAAAGTGAGCCCGGTTACCACACTCACCCGACGAAACACGAAAGTAAAAT